AGTACAGACAAGAACACAGAAAAATTTTAAGAGGGTACAGATGTTATGACATTTATTAAAAGGCATGCTACAATGTTATACTTGTTGGGAAAGAGCTCAGAGATACCAAATAGTTTATACAAACTGAAAGAAATGGAGTATATTGTAGTGTACAGAAGCTTGAATTAACCATGCACTACGCATTTAGAAAATATGTTTTTTAATATTTTATCTTCTCTTTGCATTTATAACATAAATCACATCAACAATCACAGAATCCTTTTCTTCCAATGCCACAAACTGTGTTACAAATGAAAGCTGGTACTGCTGCTTATCAAAATATACAAGACAATTGATGTGTTATATAAAACCACTTTATATGTTAACTTGTTCCCAAAAACCTTTTTTTTCTTTTTTTGGCCTGGTTTAAAAAATGTTGTTACAAATATTTACAGCATCTTCTTACGTTAGATGAACATTCTCATAAAATGAAAAAGGGAATTTTATGAACAGACCATACAAAACACGAGACAATGTAGAGGCTCCTAGCTGTGCTATTTTTTCCCTTTAAATACAGTACTGAAAATGCCCATCAAACCCTTAACATCTTAATCCATTCTGTTCACATTAAATCCCCATTTTCTCTAAGTAGTCTAGTCATCAACAGGACATAGAAAGTAAAGGCCTCTTAGCAATGAGTCTTCTTTCTGAAAGGAGCTTGGGAAAATGCATAACAGAGAGGAGTTAAAACCAGAACAGTCAGTCTTTGGTCAGAGCAATGAGGTGACATACTGATGAAAACTTTGCTTAGTCAGGAATCTTTATCATTAGTACTTTCTGGATTGTGGGATGAATTTTTAAAAGATCTGGTAATAATGCTAAGGGAAAAAGGTCAGAGTATGATTGTTTAATGGCATCAAAAATAGCTACTTAAATATTTGTTACTACTACTACCACCTAGATGCAAGAACTGAAATTAACACACATACAAAACAACCTGTTTACAGTGCTCATGTAAGCATGCTGCAGCAGCTTCAATCATGACTATGATCACCAAGGTCACTGGACCAGACAAATATCCCTGTTCTCTGGAACATATGCCTCAGGTTATGGAAACTAAGATGACTACCACAAAGATTTAGAGCAGCTCTGTTCTTGGACTTATATGTACAATGCTATACAATGAATATTATGGGGAAAAGGCAAAAAAAGTGTAACTGATTCCACTTATACAGTTACAATTCTTTGCTTGTGTAGTCTGTGGGATAACATTCTTTTAAAACTATAGCACATACTTCCTGAAAACCAGAATACTGATACTACCTTAGTCTCAAATAGGAAGAAAATTAAGACTACTAAAGAAGGCACATAAACTTTGGTCCTGTTTTTTTTTTCCCCCAATATAAACCATCCCCCCAAACTAGTATGCTAGCAATTTTCTACTTTTTAAACCATTCATAAGAAGCTGTTAGAATTTGCTCTGAAAAAAGACTGCAAATAGTCTTGTAGGTAACAACACAGTTCTTTTAAAAGACAGCTGAGTTATAATTTCTTTAAAGGAAGTTTTGTGCAATCTAAACTACATTTCTTTTTAGCACAATAGTAGAATATTTAAGTCTGGCAGTTTTATTTTTGTTAAAAACAGATCAAGACAAAGGAAAGGCTAAGAAAAATGCTTCTACACATAGTCATGCTGTTTTCTAGATTTTAAAAATAGCAGTATAGGGGTCCTCCCTCGTGGCACAAGGGGTTGAGACACAACCTATGAAGCTGTCTGCAGCCTCTGCAACACGAGTTCTATCCCCGGCCGGCCAGGGAGCAAACCACATGGCGCAACAGACCTCTCCTGTCTCACCCGCTGCTCCTCTCAGCAGTGTACTTCAGTCAATCCACCTGTTCTGTTCCCAACTCTGTCTCTGGTGAATCTTCTTACCCCCCACACCTCTGGCCTGTGCCCCAGGTTCTTGTATGCATAAATAAATAAATCTTAAAAAAAAAATAGCAGTACACATTAGGTTTTCTAAGAGATAGGTTTATAGTTTGGCAAACTTAAGGTTTTAACTTGAGGTTTTAAAGTGAATCCTGGGAAGGCAACCTATACTTTTGAGCTTGTCATCTTTTATTCAAAAATTTTTAGTGGATATTTAGAAGAAAATATTTAGAAGAAAAACTGCATGATAATATGCTCAAGCTATAAATCTTGCTGGATAAGACATGGGAGCTTTGAAAGTTTTTGAGATTGGAACAGACATTTGTGATAGTACTGCTAAGCAAGCAAAGCAGATTCAATGATCACAGTCCTAGGTGGAGCCAAAGAAGGAACTGCTTCTGTAAGGAATCAGGCTGTTGGAAGCTGTCTCTAAAAACTGTGAGATCTGCAACTTTCAGCAATAAAAATCAGAATCATTATTTTAAATGTTACATATTTAATATCAAACAAAGAATTTATACCATTCTTAGAAGGTAATTCTGATACTCTCCAATAAGTTATCAAGATAACTGGTTCATTTTTCTATTTGTCATCTCACACAAAATACATTTCACTGCTATGCAAGTTACTTAAATCCCAAAGTAAAACATTTTGTCACAAATTGCTACTGTCAAATGTGTACTGCTATTTTTTTAAAGTCCTGACTATATATACTTTGTGTGAAAGTCAAGATACTTCCAAAAGTGATGACAATACTCCTTAAGAGAAAGTAAATAAACTTAAAAACAGGATACAACAATTCAGCAAAAATGAAACATCGTTTTAAGATAATGAATGAATGCATGCCAAACAAAAATACAAAGATCTAGTTTTTCTACTATTCTGATAGTTAAAAAATATTTTTACAGAAGCTATGCCAACACAAATATTGTAGACCTCTAAAATTCAACAGCAAATATCCCAATATGGACAACATCCATGTACAACAGCTAATTTTAGACACAAATGGATGGTGTTAAACACACTATTTTAAACAAGGATATCTAACTTTTCCAAATCTTAATTTGATTAATTTTCTTTGTCAATAAATTAAAATGTAATGTGCATATGTATGTACAACATTAGAAGAGTGTATATATATACACCTATCTATACACACACACACATACACACATACACACACACAAACAAATCCCTGAAAAGGATGCAATATGTTCTTAGATTTAAAGGCTATTTACTAACCTCCAAGTTACATTCAACACCATCATGATCTTCCTTCTGCTACACTTTGCTACACTTACACTGAATGTTGTGAGAATCACCAATTAAAATTGCACAGAATTCCTAACTCAAAGTAAATGAATCAGTCCAATTTAACATGCCACTGAAAATTATAATAGTACTTATATAGAAGGGAAAAAGCAAATTTTGGGAGATTTCACAGAGATTCCCCCCCACCCCCCGTATTGTTTTGGTGAAAATATATTTCATAAGTAAAAAAATAAAAACTAGATAAATGATAATTTGTCAATTTAGTCAATATTAAAAATTGATCCATTAAGTTCTCAATTTATTATCGGCCTTCCTATTCTACCAACTGCTATTCAGTGTTGAGTTATTGTATAATTTTTTTGTAAAACATCTTTCTCTTTTCAAATTAATGTCTGGAATATAGCAAAGATATTGAGATACTCTCTTAAAAGATGAGATGAGCCACTCTAAGATTCTGAAAAGTGTAAGATAAGTGGATAAAAATGACCATTTTGACAAATTCTGCTTTTAAAAAAACCTGATCAAACATTGACAGAATTAACAAAACCAAGTTTCTCCTTAAGAATAAACAATTTTACATTACACAATCACAGAAGCAACATTAAAATGTACTCTTTACATTCAACCAAAAAGAGACTGGGAGAGAATATGAGAAAAAAATCCAACTTCTCATACTCCACATGTGGGTGCTCAGTAATGAAGTTATTACATTAACAAAGAAAAGCAATGTTCCCATTGTGAGTACTGAGAAAAACCAAGTAATCCTGAGACAAATTCTAATGAGTCATAGGATTAGACAAGATCCAGAAACTGAGATTGCATTTTATAGCCCCAAATCGGTATGCTATAAATGGCAATGACCACTAAGGGTCATAATCTGAAGAGGCCTACAGGTGTGCACTGAGTATTCCCAAAACCATTTACCCTTCCCCACCCCATCATTGTACTGAAGCACCAAAAATTTGAATAGAAACTATTACTTATTGAAAAATCACTTAAAATTGCAATGAAATTATTTTAAAATCCTTATCAAACCAGGGAAAGAAAAATAAACGCTCACCAAGTCCACAATATAGCTTTCTAGATACTTAGATAAAAATCTAACCTATTGTATCATAAGCACATAATAAGGCACATAATAAGAAATTAAGTAAATACACAGTAATTCTGAGTATTAGAGATTATAGTGGTACAAAAAACCCTTGAGATTAATTTTTTCTAAAAGAAGACCTTACCAAAAATAACTTTTAAAAAATCTGTCAAACCATATGATAGACCTGAATATTTTCCTTAAGACTGTAAACTTTTTTCCTGAAAACAATTATAAAAAAGTTTTTAAGTAGGATTTTCATTTTAAATTTTCCAAGATCACTGCATTATTCAGCAAGTAAGTGTCATTTTGAACTTTAAGCATGATTTTTTAAATACAATTATTACTCTGACACCTTAATAGTAGATCCTAGCTGGAGTCCACTTAATTTCCCTGGGGACATCTGAAACACTTTATTTCTCCAAATAGTTTTAAAAAGTTAAGTGTCATTCAAAGGAGTGTCTTATAGTGATTGAAAGAAAACATGCAAGTACATAAAATTTGCTTCCGCTAAAACTCAATTTGCTCATGTATAATAACTATCAATACATGCCAAATAATTGATGTAATTTACAAGTGAACATAATTTGTCATGGGGTCAAACTTTTGAATCATAAAGTAAAACCTTGGTTGTAATTTAAAAAAATCTATGTTTAAATTTTTCAAAGTACAAAGGCGTTTAGAAATATCATATAAGACTGATTTGGACCCAAATTAAAAAAAAGTCTGTCCTCCAGAAATGCAATTTAATATAGGGAAATGAATTACTAAGAAAAATTTTGCCTTAAGATTATTTTCATAGAAACTATGGTATAAAGGGAAAACCTTTGATCACAAATTGACAAGAGGGAAAAAAGAATATCCTTTGATTTTTTTTAAAATATACTTGAAATATTAAACTCAGAAAGAGCTGTTTTTGTGAAAGAGGCAGAATTGGTCTTGAGCTGCTTCAGTTTATGTCTGAAGGTTTTCTGAAATCATGGTCCAGTCTTAGAAGAAAACTTTCACAGAAAAGTCAGATGGTAGATTTTGAGAAGGAAACTCTGAGGTGGTGATTTTCTCCCAGGTCATGGTTATGAAGTTCAATGAGTGCCTGAATCGCTTCTTCCACTGATCCCAATTGAATGAGTGCCATTTTGCGATCTTTTCTGAAAGTGGTATTAAAAAAACATGAGAAAGTATATAGAATTAATTTTGCCGACAAAGTCCATTCCCTACCCCAGAAGACTTCATTGAATTACCTTAAAAAGTTTGCATATTATATTAACTAATGTTAATGTAGTTTTTGAAAGCAAGAACTTACTGAAAGAATTTAAAAGCCTTTACTGAACATCCAGCTTCTGTGAAAAGGTTCTTCAGATCATCCACTGTAACAGAAGGGCTATGAAAACATCAGAGAGAGTGTTAACTATCTTAGCCTTAATTCTCAAATGAGGCAAAGATTAACTCTTACAATTGTCAAATCTCTAGAATATCTCATTTCAAAAATAATCATCACATCATGCAATGAAGACATGATTTGGAAGTACCCTGAAAGATGTTCAAGGCTGATAGAAACTTGTCCTTCAACAATCAAATCTTTGCATTAGGATGTGAGCAAGAACATTCTTTTAATACTACTTTTTTTTAAAGGGATTATTTTCTGTACACTGGCCTCAGTAATTAGCTCAAGTACCTCTAAAGCTATTTTTCTAGATCTCACCTGTCTACTTAGTCCACAGTTCTACATTTCGACGGCTTTCAAAATAATTATGAATTGTCATGTGACAACTAGGCTCTTACATGGCTGCCAGTTACTCATGTCTCCTACTATTCAGGGCAGTACCCTCCTATATTTAACAGGAATGTTTTCTCTGTAACCCTAAGGTTATTGCAGCAATGACAGGTGGTGACTTCTGAGGCCAAGAGTCATCATGATGTCAACTGTGGCCTCTTTTTGGAAGAAACCAGCTGCTATTTCATGAGAACACTCAAATAGCTACAAGGAGAGGTCTCTGTGACAAAGAACTGAGGCATCCCATCCACAAGTAATCACTGGAGTCAGCCACTCTGGAAGTGGAAACTTTAGCTCCAGGGCAGATTTAATCTTACTAGAGATTCTCAGTCAGAAACACCTAGTTAGTTCCCTTTGGATTCCTGATTCAGAATAATGGTGTTAGATAATGAACAGTTACTATTGTGATAAGCTATTAAGTTTGGGGTGACCTATAATCTAGCAGTAGATAATTAATATGAAAGTCAACTGACTAAAAGTAGACCCTTCCTTATTTCATGACTGCCAGCAAAAACAGTGAGGCAGAAGAACAACTGACCCTGCAGGGAGGCAAATCTGAGTTGACATTTTATTTCTCATTCATTTGGTAGATCACCTTGAGTAAGTTAGTCAACCAGAGTCTCTCATTAGTGCAAAGATTATTAGGGATAAATTGATAATGATGTAGCTAGTGGTTACCAGGGACAAGAGGATATAGGAAAATGAGTATCATTTAATGGTTATAGAAGCTCAGTTTTCAATGATGACAAAGAGCTACAGATGGAGAGAAGTGATGGCTGCACAATATGTACTTAATGTGAATGTACACTCAATAATGTACAGTGAATGCACACTCAAAAAGTTAAAATGGCACATTTTATTATGTATATTTTATCACAATTTAAAAAAAAGGTTACTATGGAGATTAAATGAGGTAACACATATAAAATACCAGCAAAGTGCCCAGAACTTGGTAGATGGTTCAAAAAATATTGTTCTTTCTCTCTTCTACCTACATGTTCCGTGTAGGTTCCAACTTGAGGCCAGTTCCTGTAAATGTATTGTATTTAAAAAGGTAACACCAGCAGGAGCCTGCCTCCTCTCATATATAGTCCTCTTTACCTGACTTGATAGTGATGAGCTACAAAATTTCCAGAGCCACATTGTCTAAATCTTTTTCTTAAGAATATTTCCTAGTTGTCATGAGGTTTGAGCCACTATTAAGAAATCTTAAGATTTAAGGTTTCTCCATGTAGCCTCAATGGAGATGAGCTAGGAGTCTGTGTATTCAAAACATTTAAGTTGATTATTTTCTATTCCTTTCAGTTTTCATTCTCACTCACAGTTATGTTCCAGAACATTATCCTTCTCCATTCTTTCAATTGTCACTTAAACTCCATAATCCAAATTCCATAAATTTTCACACACATATATACATGCACCATATCTATAGCTTTCACCCCTCCCTTTCCAAAACCTATCCCCTTTCATGTATTAAATTCAAAAATTGCCATCTTTGAAGGTAAATGATTTTAGTAGGAAGAGGGACTGCCAGATTTTTTTTTTAAGGGCCATCTAGTAAATATCTTAGGCTTTGATAGTCATACAGTATGTAGCAACTATTCAGCTTTGCTGTTACAGCTCAAAAGCAGCCATATAAAATACGGAAGGTAATTATTTTTTTCAAATCACAAAATGTTTCTTTTACTTTCCCCCGACTATTTGAAAATATAGAAATCAATCTTAGCTCATGCGTCATACAAAAACAGAGGGATTTGGCACAGACTGTAATTGATCAGGCCCTAGACTGTTACAATACTAGTTAATGTAAAGCGGCCATAAGGAGTAATTTTAAGCTTTATATTAACATATATATGGTTTCACAGCCTGTAGATAAAAGAAAAATAATTTTTACCAAATTCTTAGATAAAAAAATTATTTGACTTTTTTATTTTGGTTACTTGAGTCTTCGATTCCATTGAACAAGTATGCGTCAATGGAATTTTTTTTTAAGATTTATTTTATTCATACAAGAGCTGGGGTGTAGGCCAGAGTTGCAGGGGGCTGGTGGTGGTGGTGAGATGAATCACCAGAGACAGAGTGGGGAGCAGAACAGGCAGATCCACTGAAATACATTGCTGAGGGGAGCAGCGGGTGAGACAGGAGAGGTCTGCTGCACCATGTGGGTTAGCTCCTTGGCCAGGGATAGAATTCCTGCTGCAGTGGCTGCTGACAGCTTCATAGTGCTGAGACTTAACCCCTTATGCCACCAGGGAGGCCCTTAATAGAATATTTCTATATAAACTTATCTTTTTCCTTTTATAACTAAAAGGTATCGATTTACTAATTATTTGGAAAGATAATTTCAAAATACTGCTATCTTTCATACAAATCATCTCACAAGAAATCAGTGACCAGGACAGATTCAATTAGAATTTCAGAGTTTTAACCTTTCCCAATCTATATACTGTAGACTATTTATCACCAAATTGAATAATAAATTAAGTACATACGGGATGTTGGAAAGATGCAGAGTGGCTGATGGTGGAAAAATATTCTGGAAGTTCTTAGAGCCAGGTTTTTTAAAGCGATGCAAAGGACTATTGCTAAAATCCTTAGTCAGACCTTGGTCTTCTTGTCCTTCTCGAGGAAGCTGAACTGCCTGGTGTTTGGACAGCGTAGCACGAAGCACTTTTCCATAAAGTCTTTGACCACTCAGATGGTTCATTGCTGTTGCACAGAAAGAAAGTTTGGGTATTAGGGTCTATGCAATATTTGTCCAAATTAAAATGAATTCTTTTTATTTATTCATCTAAAATTATAATTTTATAATTAATATAAATGTCAATTTAAAGGTTAAAATTATTTTAAGTCCAAAAACTTTTACAAACGAAACAGCTTTAAAAATGACATTTTACTATAATGAAAGAAAAGCAGCCAAAGAAAAATTAACTATCTTCTAAATATTGTCTAAAAAATTAAAAAAATGATAAATGTTAAAACAAAAAAAAAAAAAAAAAGGAAAAAAAAGAAAAATTAACTATCTTCTCAGGAAGTTCAAATACCTGGAACATAACAATGTTCAGGAAATGGTTATTGAATTAGTTTAATCTCAAACAAAGTATTTCTTATAAAAAAATGAGTAGTAATATTTTAAGTCAACTATAATAATGACCACTGAGACCATAGAAAGACATTATCTTGCACCATCAGTATGAAGTTTGTATAAACTTTTAAGCTATACAACATACAATAGTTCTAGAAAACTTGGATGGAAAGCAAATAAACAAAATAAAATAAACAGAACAAAAGAAGTCATGCTTATTAATTTAGACTTAATGGAAAAACCAACAATATGTTCATGTAGATAAATGAATTATCAAAAAGTAACAAATATTTTTTAATCTTAAAATCTAAGCAGACCCAAATAATAATGAAGACATTAGCATAAAAGGATACTCTTCAGTAAAATTTTATTTCTATTAGCTATAAGTCTGGTTATTTTATAGGAAAATCAATATACAAGAGGGCAAGTTATCATCACTGTTAATCATTAATACCTAGTTGAGCTTGATTTGCATCTGCCATCTGAACCAAGGCATTTTCTTTTTTATTAAACATAATCTTCACTCGATGTACATCGCCATACACTCCTAATTAAAAAGACAAAACACGTTTGAAGCTAATTGTGTAATGTTTGATTGAGTTTACTAATATATTTAAAGAAGCCTCTTCCCCCTCAAACTATATACTCTTCCTGGGTGATTTCATACATATGCTCCCAAATTCAAATCTGTTCTATATTTCAGATGCATCAATCTCCTCATCCTTTTGTACTTGGATGTGCTATAAAAACTTCAAATTCAATATCCCAAGCTGATTCATTTTCTCCTTCCTTTCCCCTTTTCCAGTGTTGACTGGAACTCTGTTGGTAAACAGTACCAGGACCCACATATCTGCTAGTAAGACACTCTGGAGTCATCTTTTGACTTTTCCCTTTCCTTAAACTCTTATAATCAGTCATCAACATCATTGCTTCTATGGCCTAAATATCTTTCACATTTGGTCACTTATCCCCATAGTCACACTACTATCAAAACTACCATCACCATTTCATACTGGACTACCATAACAAGCTCTTAACTGATCTTATTAATCCCAGTTTTCTACACTAGTGTTCTGCAAAATGGGTCCCAGACCCCAAAGGACAGGCAAAATAAATCATTGGGTGTAGGGGAAGAAAACAGTCAACTTCTTATTCATACTAATTTGTTTTTATAAACCAACATGAAAAGTTGTATTTTATCAATTTTTAGAATATACATGAAATTTTAAGGATAATACTATAAGGGCATCCTCTCATTCTTTTTTATTCAGTGTATTAAAATATATTGCAATTTATGTGCTATAGGATATCACCAATATTATAAAAATAAGACCTTTAAATAGCAGCATCATTACCATATTCCACATTTTATGAATTGCTAAGAGAATGACTACAAAAATCTTCCAGGCACATTAAAAAAAAAAGAAGTGCTGGTAATCTAGTGGTCAAGCACATAAGAGCAACTGAACTCAGAGACTTACAGTACTTTTAAAATTAAAAAACAAAAGATAGAATTTTGCATTTGCAGTTTTCTCCCCCACAAATGACAAGTGGTTGAAATAGATATTTCTTGCAAATAAAATACATACAATTTGCTCTTCAAGCTTACAGTGATTCTTCTTTAAATGAGTGAGAAACTGCTTTTAGAAAGAAAAGCACTTTGGCTATGTATGATTTTGTTATTGAAAGTTACATGTGTCATGAATAAACCTAGCACAATAAGTACAAATGAGTATAAAGGCTCTCTGTGGGTGATGGAAATATTCTAAAATTGGACTATGGTAATGGCCACCAAAGTCTATAAATTTATTAATAAAGTCATTGAGTTGTCTACCAAAGGCAGGAGAATTGTATAGCTGTAAATTATACTTCAAAAATTATTGGAAAAAAATTGTAATACACAATTTTAAAATAATTCTCTACAAAAATTCTTCCTAATGAAGAGTACCTGTACATTTTAACCCCATTTGCTAAAATATTTTAATTCAACAGTTTCCAAGATCAAGTGACATAACAAAAGGAAAAATGAAACTTTTTAAGGCAGAATTAAACAAAAAAAGTACCACAAAACTAGTGGATTAGACTAAAAAATAAGTATCATAATTAATTAGGTACAGTAACAATGAAATACTTCCATTTATATCTTATATCCTTATGAGTTATCTTTTTCAGTTATGCCAACCATTAAGATTAAGCGCCAAACTTAAAGTAAAATTAGAATTAGAACCTGAATACAAAAATGAAAATGAAAAAGACCTTTAAAAATAATAAAGCATATTAAATCACATTTCTCATTAAATGTTAATATATTTTATAAAAAGTCACACCATTTAATTTTAAAACCCTTGAAATATTACTATACTTCCACTGTTCTTATACTTGCTTGTACATATCCATACATAATGAATACAGTAAAAGATGGATGAACTTTATGAATTAATAATACATATATATTAGGAATACACGGCAATATTTTTTTTAACTGAGAGAAACACTACTAGTAAGTAGATCTGTAGACTTTTAAAAATGTAGATCTCATTATGGCCCTTTCCTCCTTAAACTACTCAAAGTTTCCTATTATTTTTAAGTTAAAAAAAAGTTTAATATAGCTTACAAAGCTCTTCATGATCATGCTTCTAATCCTTCTGTCCACTTTCAGTATGTCTTTCCATTCACTCTCCATTGGGCTCCCTTTACTTCCACGATCCAGGAACTCCCTCTCTCACTGATAGTTATCTGGTAGAGGACATTTGCCCTCCCTTTCTGCCTGGCTAACTTTTACTCATTTTTTACAAGTCAGCTTCACAGTCATTTCCACTGGTACATCATCAATGATTTCCTCAGCTAGATTAGGTCCCTCTTCCACATACTCAAATGATAAGCTCTATTTTAAACATTTCATTGTAATTGTAATTACTTACTAAGTCTTATTTGCCACTTCCTCCTTAGTATCAAACCAATTACACAGAGATAATAAATATCACTGAATGATGAAATATACTCACTCCACATCACAGGGAAAAAAAGAACTTACCAAATAGGATAAAAAGTCCATGTGGTGTAATAAGCTGTTTGAAAAGCAAAACACAAAATGTAAGTGTTTGTCTAATTTATTTATTTTTAAGATTTATTTTTATTTATTTATGCATACAAGACTGGGGTGCAGGCCAGAGATGCAGGGGTGTGTGTGTATGTGTGTGACAGTGTCAGAAAGGATTCACCAGAGACAGAGTAGGGAGCAGAATGGGCAGATTTACTGAAATACAATGCTGAGGGGAGCAGCGGGAGAGACAGGAGAGGTCTGCTGTGCCATGTGGGTTGTTCCCTGGCCAGGGATTGAACTCATGCTGCAGTGGCTGGCGTTAGCTTGATAGTGCTGAGACTTTAACTCCTGTGACACCAGGAAGGCCCCCCTGTTTGATTAATTTAAATAAAAATTTAAACTAAGTTAACTTATAATGTAATAATGGCAGCTGACTTTGTTTAAAGTAAGGATTTAGATGCTTCATCCATATATCATTCCCCTTGGTGTCCTCAGGGAATTGGTTCTAGAACTTCTGCAGATACCATAATCCAGGGAAACTCAAGTCTCTTATATAAAAGGGCATAGTACTTGCATATAACCTATACACGTAGTCCTGTATACTTTAAATACTAATCTCGATTACTTATAATACATAATACAATGTAAGTACTACTTAATAGCTGTTATACCACATTATTCAGAGAACAATGACAAGGGGGGAAAAGCCTACAGCTTAACTATACAGCACATATTTTCCATCTACGGCTGGTTGAACTGTCAAAGAGGAACCTGTGGGCACAGTGGGCCTGCTGCATATACCAGTGATAAATGTGATAAACACAAATCCTTAACAACAAATTAAAACATTTCATTTGAAGACAAGCCTAAATCAAAAGCTATTATGCCTATTCCTGAAAGACTATTTACACATAATACATTGCAACTCACATCAGGATTGAGATTGGTGACAAGTAGGACAGAATTTCCGGGTATACCACCAGCCCCAGGAATGGCCATCCTTCCAGTGACAGCAGAAGAGGTGAGTGTGAGAGGACCAAGACCTCCAGGAACAGTTGGGACTGACAGACCTTTTAAAAACATCAAAAGCATTTCATATTCCAGTTATCTGAAGAATTGTAACACCACATGTAATGTAAGTAGATAAATGAAGACAAAAGCAATAGGGAAGAAAGCATGTCGAAGCTATTGTAAGACTACCAAGGGCCAGTTTTCTGCACTAGAGTTTGTTTGGGGTCAAGCTCCTTTTTCTTTCACATACTCTTACTTGATATTATTATACAGTACTGTACAGAACAACGCAATTCACTGATCTTAAAAGTCATTAGGCTTTTTGGGAGGGTTATCAACTACAAGAACCCCTATTTCTTGAAATAGATATGTTCCAGCATGCCTTTATAAAGCAGTTGTAATTTTCACAGCAACTTCTACCATAAAATTAGCTATTACAAAAAAGTCTTAGCAGAAGTCACAAATATGCATGCTAGGTGGAAATGGGGTATAACAGAATATTCTGTTTGGGAAAAGCATTGTGTAACCTTATAAAATCTTATATAAATATCATTACCACAAATAATAGATTTATAGAATTTCTTTTTTTTTTTTGTAGCAAGATTTTTTGAAGTCTCTATTTTTCTACACATTCCAGAACTACTCCAAGTTCTAGAATACAAAAATCTGACACTATATACTCTAATTAAAACAAGAAAGTATCTGGGAGGTCCCATTCTTTGTGTTCTCAGCTTAAAAATTATCTAAATTAAAATCTCTGGTTTGTGTAAAATGACCCAGCTCTCTAATTTACTCTTCACGCTCACATTCCTTATAATAGACAAGTACATGGAAACTTTACCACAAATCATGTAATTGAACCAAAATATCATTTACATCCAGTGTACTTTGTGTGACAATCTAAGGTCATGACTACCATCACTTCATGCTGCTAAGTTTAAAAAATGTACAAGATCACCTTCTCAGGCTGGAAACTTTCTTATGAAATCTATGCTTAGTAATCTGTCACATGACCTCTTCCCAAGCCCTTCCTATCAATCCTACAACTTTAGCTATGGATGTTTTGGTGGTGAGAGAACTATGGTGACCACACCCGAGGGGAGAAATCCTGTGTTTTCCAAAAATTAAAAAAAGAATACATATATCTATATAAACCTACCACTTTGGGATAACTTGTAGGTCTAGGCTATACCACAATGAGTACATCTTAGCTACACTGTAGGGTGTGTACAGGTTTATGTGTTTGTGTGTGTGTGTATATATATATATATATATTTTTTTTTTTTTTTTTCCCCAGTTGACCTGAAAAGTTAACTCAGGAACTCCTATGTACATTTTTCTCTTAACAGCTACTACAGTATTTCATACATATCAATACTATATAATACTACTTCCAAGTATGTATCAATTAAGCTGGGGGAGACTTCAAATAAGTAGAAATTATGTGTAAAGCTTTCTGTATCTATTATAATGGAATAGGTACAAGAGTCACATGTTAAAATGTCTTCAAAACACCAAAACTTAAACCTCAATGTTCTGATTACTTTTTTTTTTTTAATTAAATGCCATCCTCTCCATCAAAGAGTAGTTAAAATTCCCAGAATCAGAAGGACAGGATAAAAAGATCACTACCAAAATACAGCTACATTGCAATTTTTGAAATTTTTGTTACAATCACGAACTGCTGCAATTACAATTACAACTGCTGCAAATGTAACACACAGACTCAGTTTATTAATACTAGAGTCACTCTCTTAATCACCACCCCCAGTGTTTTCTTCAATACACACACCAGAGATAAACCATCAAGTAATTTTTACAACTTCTTAACTTATGTTCAAATTAATTGTTTACTATTTAGAAAAGAGAGCCATCATCAAAGTATTAATTAACTGCTAGCTCTTAAATATCTCTTTTAGCTAGAGAGAAAAATATTCCTTAAATAGCCTACATTACTAATCTCTACAGTAATCTTCTAAACCCATGAAGGACAAGAATGACAGGAAAATTAATCCAAAAATTTATTGATTTAATACTGTGTACTGGATGCTATGAAAGACACTGAGTAAAGAAGATTTGTTCAAAAGTTACTGATACTGAAAAAACAAATATAAGGTTACTTATATAGTCAGCCTGTGTGAAGTATAAATGATACAGACATAGTGAAATTATTGGGGTTGAAATGGAATCACTGAGAATTATTTATAAATATAAAGAATCTGTGCATCATTCAATGGCTGATACACATAAAGCTTTTATTGTAATATCTTCAAATATTGTAATATTTTCCACCTTGGTTAGTTTTTACAAAGTATAAAACATCATTAGAAATCATTTCAAATTCAACTTTAAAAGAGTCACCTGTAGCTTGAGGAAATCCAATGGCTGGGGCAAATCCAGCAGCCCCAGCATATGGTGAGGAAATTATACCTGGCGCACCTAATGGGGAAGAGAAGCTAAAATAAATACACTACCTTCTATAAATATGATCATCCAAGCAATATAAAATAGCTATATGAGAGTGTATTACTGATAGAGATTCTGTTATGGAGTAACAAGTTGTTCAACAGGTGACCCTGAATGTGTAAGGAAAGAGCTCCTGCCACTTCCAGAGGCTAACCCCTTTCAATTGTGTTCAAGGTAAATAATGCAATTTAGCTGTTATTTAGTTTTGAACTAGGTTGAGATTCCTGTCTAAACAGTTTTGTTTCTATGTTAAAGTCATCAAGTACTTACTAAATTTTACTGTGACTATGAGATACTGGTTGATAAAAAGAAACATGAGATAAAAATCCTTGTTATTGAGAGGTATACAAAGTAAAAGTATGAATCGCAGAAGATTTATATGCTGAGGAGCTAGTGGTTTAAAGATAAATGTACTGCACTTCTAACAAAGGATTATAGAAGACTCACGGTGATTGGTTGGAGAAGGTTTCTCAGGGGGTAAAACTTGAGCTAGACATTATATATTTGAAAACACAGTACTTCCCCTTCTTTTAAGGAACGACTGCACCATCAACAACAACAAAAAAAGTATTATTTCCAAAGGGGAAGTGGGTATTAGTAGAAAAACAATTTGGTTGTGGACATGTTGAGATTGAGGTTATGGTAAGACATTTGAAGAGAAATGGCCATTAGCCAAAAGAAGGAAACAAACTCAGAATAACTATTACAAGACAAATATTTATAAATTGTCTATGTAGAAATAAAAATGAAAATCATATGAATGGGAGTTCCACTAAAAAGGGAAAAAGACATGAAATGGAGAGATAGAAATAGAATCTGGGAGTACTAATGTATACCTATGTGGAACAGAAAGGAAAAAGGAATATTCTGAAAAGCAAAAGGAAAAATCCAAACAAACAAACAAACAAAAACACCACCCATTTTGGAAACAGGAAACAACTACAATCAATTATATGTAGTATTATATAAGCAGTCCCTCACAATCCAAAGTAACGGAGGTGGGGGTGAGGGGAGACCTTCAACAGAGGTCAAAGAGAATGAAAAATGAAGGTAAGGAATACTCTCAGCAATAGCAAAAAGTTAAAGAGCAAAAGTCAAAGAAAGGGGTTATTTTAAATGATAAACATATTTATAGAAAGAATTATGTAGGCGATATTTTCCAGGAGTTTGAAAGTTCATAGATGTTTATTTTCTTCACTGAAGGGAATTAAGTACCAGAATTTTTAACTATGTAGCTGTGGTTTATTATAATAATTCAAGAAAATAAGTCATTAGGAGACTGCAGAGATAGCTACCAGCAGAGACAACTAGATACAAAAACAAGAATAACGAATGAAATAAGGGAAAGTAAAACCCATTTAACTCATCTACTGAAAGCACGAGTCAAGCATTCTTCTAGTGCTGAGGAAACACGGAACCATCCAGACAAGAATCTCCATTCTTGCTAAACTTGCATTCAGGATTGCTCAAGCTCACAGCTAAAACGATTCATTTGTACAACAGAAATGAACTTTGTGAAAGGCATAAAAAAAGATTTAACAAAGAGACTTCAATAGTTTATAATTATGAAAATTTACACTATAAATTCTAATTCATTAAACATAAAAAGATATAGATTATATACTGCTGCCACTTCACTTGCCTCTTCCATATAATTGGTGAGTCATGTGACTTGCATTGGCCTATGTGTGATCAAGTTTTATCAAGTAAGAATACAAAGACAGAAAAAACATATACCACTTCTACACAGACGCTTCAAGAGGCATTACGTTAACATTAGCTCTCTTATTTTTTACTTTCTGCCACTCAAAGAAGAGCGATACCTTGGCACCTGGACCTTAGATCAAAAAGACATGTGAAGAAGGGGCTGTAAACACAGTTGCCTAAATGTTAGTCATATGAGAGAAATGTTAATTGCTCTAAACCATTCAGATTTAGGGGAGGGTAAGAAAAAGTACTTTTTTTTTTAAGATTGATTTTTTATTTATTTATGCATAAAAAAACTGGGGTGCAGGCCAGAGGTGCAGGGGGTGAGAGGATTCACCAGAGACAGAGTGGGTAGTAGAACAGGTGGAATGACTGAAATACACTGCTGAGGGGAGCAGTAGGTAAGACAGGTGAGGTCTGCTGTGCCATATGGGTCAGCTCCCTGGCCAGGAAACAACACGTGCCTGCGAGCCAACTCATGCTGCAGTAGCTGGCAATAGCCTGATAATGCTGAGACTTTAACCTCTGCAACACTAGGGGGGCCCCAAGAGAGGCACTTTTTTTAAACAAAGAGACCAACAGAGATGGTTATAGAAGGGGTGGGAAGGAGTTTAAGTTAGACTAGCAGATTTTAGAGAAATGAGAAAAATATTGGCGATATTATCAAAATTGTCAAACAATTACCAGGACCAAAATCTAAAACACTATTCCCAAGTATTTGCTATTACCCAAATAAAAAGATACAGTAACACTTTAGTAATGTAACCTGTTACATAATGAGTTAGGTATCTTTATGAAAAGATTGTGCAAACCTTTAAGGAAAAAGTTTCCATGATTAACTTAATACAGAAGGTGAAAAATACCTTTTAAAAATTGAAAAATCAGGAAGTTATGAGAGGGGCTGGACAGGGTAAGTCAAAGAAAAGAATGCAGCACAAGCATAATCTGTTTTGAGGTATCTGGGAGAAAAGCACTCTAGATGGAGGGAACAACTGGTGACACAATCCTGTAACATGTTTTAGAAACAATAGGAATGTCTATTTGGTGGACAATAGAAGGGAGGGAAGTGTCAAAGGAGATTACACGAAAAAAAGTAAAACTGAACCAGATGCTATAAGGATCTTGTAATCCAATGTGAGGATTTCATTTACTTTGAAAGAAATGGGAGCCTATGGAGGACCATCAGCATTAGATTGAAATATGACTTTTTTCTATTCCAATTTATATATAATAAAACAGGCATATGTAAAAGGTACTATGTCAAGATTTAATGTGTATTTAAAATGTGAAATTGTCATCAAAATCAAGGTAACAAATATTTCCATTACTCTAAAAAATATCCTTATGTTCCTCTGCAATCCATTTCTGTAAACCCTGTCTCCAAACAAGTACTGATTTGCTTTTATGTCACAACTGATCATTTTTCATCTTATAGACCTATACATAAACAGACTCACAAGGTATGATGTTCCTTTTTGTCTTATCTTTTTTCATCATAATGTTTTGACTGGCTTTTTTTTTTTTTTCATTCATCATAACCCTGTTATCCTTATCAATTTAGTCCTTTTCCATTCACCTATAATAGTGCATTTCTAGAATTTAGGCCATTACAAATAAAACTGCTACAAACATTTGTGTGTGCAATTAATTGTGAGGACATAAACTTTCACTTCTGGGGAAATACCTAGAAGAATGACTAGGTCATATTGTAGGTGTGCATTTAACTTTTTAAAAACTGCTGAACTTTTCCATTTTCTCTCGCCACCACCATAGCAGATTAGTGATGACACCCCATATCTGCAGCACAGTAAACCTCTTTAATGAGCATGTAGTACTTACCTGACAGTGACTTTAATTTTCGTTTCCCTGACGACTAAAGATATTGAGTATGTTTTTATGTACTTTTTGCCATTCACATTCATCATCTGCAAACTTCCACTTCAAATCTTTTGCCCATTTTTATTCATTTCTTTGTTTATTACTGAACTATGAAGTTCTTCATATAATCATAACTAATTTGTCTGATATATGTATGGCAAATATTTTTTTTTCAAGTTTATGAAGTTTGCCTTTTGGGTTTTTTTGGATGGTATCTTTAGATCTAGGATCTATTTCAAGGTAATGTGCAGTGTGGTGTGAGGCAGCAATCCCATTGCTCACCTGTGACTATGCAGGTGCTTCTTCTCACCAACTCTCTCCTCTGCAGGGCAGCAGCCTCCCTGCCTGCCCGTGACCTGTACCATGCCAGGACTTCTCTTTACCGACCTCCCTCAGCGGAGGCAGCTCTCCTCCAGGCCACCTGCCTGCAACCATGCTGGCCTTTCTCAGCAAACCTGTCCCTTATCAGGGCAGCTCTTCCTGCCTGCTTGTGTCTATGCAAGTTTCCTTTATTCTTTTTATTTATTTATTTATTTATTTTTATATATAGAGGCATGTTTTTTATTTATTTATTTGTTTGTTTGTTTGTTTGTTTGTTTGTTTTGTTTATACATGCACTGGGTACAGTCAGAAGCGCGGGAGGGTGAGAGAATTCACCAGAGCCAGAGCGGGGAGCAGAGCAGGCAGAAGGACCGAAATACACTGCTAAGGGGAGCAGTGGGCGGCAGGAGAGGTCTGCGCGCCATGTGGAACCCTCCTCCAGTGGCCGGGGAGCAGCTGGGGATCGAACCGGCGCCGCAGAGGCCGCGGGCAGCTTCGCAACCCAGCGCTCAACCACTGCGCCACCGGGGAGGCCCACAAGTTTCCTTTATTCTTCTGTCCCTTTCCCTAATAAATCTGTTCTTTAAATATATATATTTAAAAAAATGTAATGTGATGTGAGATTCAGGTCAATATTTCTTTTTTCCAAGACATACAAAAACTACCTCTTAAGCGATTTTCCTTCCTCCATCAAATTTTATATTGGCTATTTTGTTGAAAGTCAACTGACTACTTACACATGTTCTACTTTTCTAGACCCTATTCTGCTCTATCTTTCTGTCTACCAAACTGGTTTAGTTACTGTAGCTTTATGTTAGGTCTTACAATTAGGAAAATTATTTGTAATTCCTTTGACTATTATAGTTATTTTTTTCCATTTCTGCTAAATTTTAGAAATTTGGTCCACTTTATTAAAGAAGAAAATATTGATATTTAAGGAAAAAATTAATGAAATAAAGCAGTTTATCAAGGTTGCTGAATACAAAATCAAGAAACACTGCATTTCTGATTTAGTCATAGAAAAAAACAAAATAACAATAGCCCAAAGTTACACTGCATTTATTCTAAGCAGCATTCTAAACTCTTTATATACATTTAATGTCCACTACCCTACCAGTATTATTATTACACTCATTCTGCATATGAAGAAATAAAAGTGCAGAGCAATTAAGCAATCTGTCCAAGGGCGCACAGATCATGAATAATAGGTCCAGATCAAAACCTATAAAGACTGGTTCTAATGAATAAATCCAACAAAGCCATGCAAACCTTGATAGGAAAAAGTCACCAACCTTTCCTGAAAGACACTAAGGAAAAGCAATGAGTGGAGAAATGTACAATGTTCAAACACTAACAAACTATTGTAAAGATGTCAATTAACTCCTAAGAGGCTTAAAAAGTCAATGTAATCTGATCAAAACCCCAAGAGTAGTTTTTTTTTTGGGGGGGTAGGGGGACATGAGAGTCTGATCCTAAAATCTGTAACTGTAAATGGCCAGGAATTGCCAATACACTGTTGAAGGGAAAGGCTTACTCTATCAGATACTGAGACTTGCACTGATGACAAAAGGAAAGACAAATAGACCAATGGAACAATGCCCAGAAAACAACCTAAGTAAATATTAATTTTAAGTTAATGGTATGTATTAGTAATTCTGGAACTACTTTCTGTGTATTCTAGGACTGAGTAAATAAGGAGAGGATAATGAAAATCAGATTTCTCATTCTGAATGAGAAAAGGGTAGTGGATTAGAATTGGTGGTTATCAATTAAATCTCATGATTTTTTTTAACACACAGAGAAATTTATCTATGAAGCACACATGCACACAAATATCCTAGTCATGTCTACTTAAAGTGCCTAGAAGCAATGACTCCCTATTAGCAATGAGTACATCTAATGTCTAGCTACTGATTTCTAAATTCCATTTCCCACTAAAAGGAACCTGAGGTCATTGGAGAAATGGCTGATTGCAGGTCTAAGGCAGAGATGGTAAAGGAGATCTGGAGTATCTTGTGGATGGTAATAAACATGGGTGTTTTAAAATATATTTACATGTTTTGCAAACTTTTCTATAGGTGTAATAATCACTAAGAACAGGGATAGAGTGCTTAAGACTTAACCCTACGAACTTTAAAGAACAACCTTTAAAAAGAGAAAGAGCCAGTAAGATAGAAAAAGAGTCAGGAGAGAGTGGTGTTTCAGAAGCCAAGAGAAATGAAAGAGGGAACAGTGAACTGTGTTAAATATTAGTAAAGACAGTAAACTTTCACAAAATACAATAAGTATTGTTCTCTGATGAATCACTTATCTTAATCATAAACAGTACTTTGCAATGAAAATAAGATGTTATATATTAGAAATCAACATTCTTACTAATTTCTTAATGTTTTCTCAGTGTGGAACACTAATTACACCAACAGAATAAATTCAATTATTACAATAAGTGCAATTCTGTATTTGATAGCCAAGTTTTGGCAAACCTGAATGATAGCCCAATTTCAACCATTTGTTATTGAGATGGTAATTGCAAATACTTGTGGCTCCAACAAATCAAAAGATATAAATTAGGAGCCAGTAACAAATATAACAACTTGATCTGAAAAAATTAAAATTTCAACAATTTTTTTTTTTAAAGTGCACTGAAGAATTCACTTGATGTTTTGGTTACAAATAACATAAAGCCTTTTCTTTGAAATAAAGTTACAAACTGATTTATAGAAAATTCTGGACGATTTTGCAAGGGGTTCTTTTTGCTCATTTGAAAGTCTAAAGTAGCAATACTTTATTATGTCATTGGGAAAGGAAAATCAATCACAAACGGTAATAAAATTTAATACTATTTAAGTAATAAAACACACTTTTGAGAGCTGCAAAACTAAGAAGTAGATAATATTAACCTAATGACATATCAAATTAGGCCATCCACTACTTCTATCTTTACATAAAGATTTATTTTTAAACTATTGATATAAATATGTGAGAACTTTAAATAAAATTAAGTCTTCAAAGCAGTATTTGCAGAGACAATTTAGAAGGCTATACTTCATTAATGAAAAAATACAATTTACACAAACTTCAAGATGGAAGTTCTGAGGTCTAAAAAATATTTAAAAATCCTCTTCTTTGGATAAAGAACATTTATCCATTAGTGTTTTAAAAATATCACTACTTAAAAAGGAGCAAATATTTCTCAAGAGCTCTTATGCCAATATTTTGTTGGCTATAAAGCAACATATTTAAATTAATGTTAATATGTGAGACTATCTACTTGAAGAGAATGGATATAGGTCTTATAAAGAATGAACAATATTAATGTTAGAAAATAAACCTCGAAGTCAATTTCAGGTATACACTTGTTTTGCCAACTAATATAATCTATTAAGATTTAATTAATGGGCACATTTTGTTCCATGATTCTTGCTTTCCTTTAGAAATCCTAAGATCCAAGAAAAAAATAGGCTAACGGGCATACATGGATTAATAAATGAAACTTAAAACTTCAGAAAACTTGCTTTGTGATTCAAAACAGAACTACTCACCAAAAGCAGCAGCCATAGGGGGTTCAAGGGATGGCTGGCCATCACCAGTAGGAAGGTCTAAGCGAGTGAAGTCTCTGCTTTTGTCATTATTATATTTCACATTAAGGCTGGTGAGCTTGGAGAAGTCAATGCGCAGAGTGCAGCATGCATTATAGATATTCTGGCCATCCAGAGCCTAAAGCATGTAAGAAAGGGACTGATGTTTTGCAAGACAACAACACTGATAATTTAAGTAGCCTCTACTTTGACACAGAGTGGCAATCAGGTGTAAAGCAGAGAGCACTGGACTGGAAGAGAAAAGACCAGTATTTTAGCTAAGTGAGCCTAAGAGAGAAAAAGAAAATTGCTAACTCTCAATATTTTCATCTGTAAAATAAGAATAATAATCCCTTATCTTGTCTGTGGTATGATCAAATGAAAGAGGAGAAATATAAAGGCTTAGAAAACAATGATATATTATTGTACTAGCAATTATAATTATTTTGTCCACAGCAACTATTCAAAGCTATTTTAATTGCATATTTCATCCTAATTCTTTTTAGTATAACTCATATAGGTTAGAATGCAATAAAATCTTTGTACATGGTACTTGTTAGAACCACAATATATGAAATACTATCTACCACCTATTTTTCTTCTCTTGTAAATTTATAATACTTTGAACAGTAAGTTGAGGAAATTTGGAGTCAGTTCAAATATAAGGCAAAATATTAATTCATTCTATTCAAATAAAAATTTACCAAAGGGTACTTGCGGCCACTTATGACTTCCACAAATTCTTAAATTTATTAAGAACAGGTGCCAGAAACTAAAATACTAAAAATATAACAAAGCACAAATAAAAAAATACGCTGACTTATGACAGTAACTGACATATATCTTCAAAAAGGTATAAAGGCAGAGGGTGCAGTGAACAGAAAGGCTATGCTCCTAATAAACAACCAGGTACTACAGTATGTCACACAAAAGTATTATAAACCTTAGTTCCTATCTTTAAAAAGAAATTAGAAATAATTAAGATTATGACACATAACAGAATTAAATTAGGGCTAGAGCTTAATAAAAGAGAAGACAAATAGAATGTAAAGTGCATGGATAAAAAAGACAACATGAATTGACAGCAGCATATTTTTGAAGACTTAATGTCTTCAATTCAGAGCTCAACAGGATTCAACAGTGAATATAGCTGTAAAAGTAGTATTCAATCAATCTTAGACTAATTTGATAGAAGTAAATGAAGACAAGAGGATAACGATAATTCTACTTTATTAGTCAGATTATATCAAAAGCATTGTGCTCAACATAAACTTTAACTATGAAAAGAGGAAATGAGTCCCAGAGGTCTGAGAAATGATAGGAGATTTGAAACCACTTCATGTGAAGAAATAAACAAATTTTTTTGGTTGTTATAAAGAAAGAGCACATGAACTGGTACATTTAAAAGTGGTAAATTTCATGTTATATATTTTTTACTACAATTGAAAAAATACATTGTAAATTGGACTAATGAAAACAACATGATCACTTTCTTTAGGTGTCACTAAAGTGACCGATTAAGAATTAAAAAATGAAGAAAAGACCATAATTACCATTTTGGCATAATGTGCATTCAATGGGTCAGCATACTGAAGCAAGGCTTGAAACTGATTATTCTTTGTAAAGGTGATAATCTTCAAGACTGTGCCAAATTTAGAAAATATCTGGAAAAAAGTTCACATTATGTTAAATTCCAGTAAAATTTTTTTTTAAAGATTTATTTATGCATACAAGAACTGGGGTACAGGCCAGAGGCATGGGGGCCGGGGGTGTGAGAGGATTCACCAGAGACAGAGTGGGGAGCAGAACAGGCAGATTGACTGAAACACACTGCCAAGGGGAGTAGCGGGCAAGTCAGGAGAGGTCTGCTGTGCCATGTGGGCTACTCCCTGGCCGGGGATTGAACCTGTGCTTCAGTGGCTGTGGACTGCCTCACAGGTTGCTGTCTTAACCTCTGGCGCCACCAGGGAGGCCCTCAAGTAAAAAATTAAACTAACAAATTTTTATGAATACAACTTGGTTCATGAATCCCATTTTTAAATGGAAATAATTTCCTCTATTACAATTATAGTACCAAAATCATTTAAATTAAGAATTAAGATGTTAATCTTAAAAACAAAAGCGTTAATCTTTCAATATTCATGCCTGGTTTAAAACAGCATCTGACACACAACAGGCACTCAACTATTTAACTTATTCTATACCATGTCAAAAATATAATGGTTTTACAAGCCAAATGAATGGAAGTAGAAGTCATATGGATCAACGAATTCACCCTGAGAATCAACATTTACTTGAGATTTTTATAGAAAAAATAACCAGAAGATATTGAAATAGAAGCTGCTAATGATTCACCAAATATTCACAGAATACTGTTCGAAGCACTAGAAAGTCAACAGTGAGTAAAAACAGAGACAAGAGTCCCTGCCCTTATGAAGAAAAACAGTTGGTAAACAAATAAGTAGCAATATCTAGTCATAAAAAGAAGGGGTGAAAATGAACCAGAGTGCAAGCTGACAAAGAACAGTTAGGGAAAGCCTCTCTGAAGCATCTTTTGAAAAGAGGAGTAAACAAAGTATGGATAAGGTTTTCTGACTGATCCTGGGTTACCAACGCTCTTACAACACTTATTCTAACACAGTAACACAAAGTTTCATGGTCAGAGTTACTATAAAACATTTTGTTTTCCTTGGACACTCCATTTTAAGTTTGGATCTTATGACTATAAAACTTGTCCTTCTACTTCAGAGAATAAAAAGATAAGATTCCCTATGCTAGTAAGATTTTGCCATTATCAAGTACTATGTATGAATGTCCTTAATAGACAAAAACACCCATTTTTTTAAATATCAGAAAGAATACTGAAGAATAACTACCCTAAAACACAGAGAACAAAAGGATACAGTCAATTATATCAAAATTTAAAACTTTTGTATGTTACAAGATACTATCAAAAGAATGAAAAGGCAACCCACAAAATTAGAGACAAATCATCCACCTGAAATAACATTAAGTTCCAGAATGTATAAAGAACTCTTACAACTCACTAACAAAAACATTCATGTTTGTAGCAACACTATTCACAATACTGAATTATACTCTGAGAAGGTTGGATTGGAGAATTATGGTAATATTTAATTTTGTAAATCATAAACATACTTGATATAAAATATCTGTTCAATAAAGTAATTTGCTATAATTTGGGGAACAATATCAATAATACTAAATCATGCTATAGAAACTAGTTAATTTCCTCTTAACTTTCAGATTTGTTAATGTTTAGATTTTTTATTTCATTTAACATAAACAACCTGAAGCACATCCTCAATGACAACTGCTTGGCTATGTGATTTTTATCTGAATCTGCTAAGAGACTATAAATGGATAAATCTTTAGAGGGCCTGGACTGTGTTTACTTAAAGAATAGCTACAGGATCCAGCAAGATGGCAGTGGAGTGAAGATATCGGGGACTACCTCCTCCAGATAAGCATAACTAGACTGCAGCAAAACAAAGCCAAAAAGTCAGAGGGACAAATGGATGCACACACTTTATTGGATAAGGGGGCACACGAGCTGATACCCAGGACAGAGGCGACACTGTTGGAGAGCTTCAGGGGTGAGGGCACAGAATGAGGTTTACTGGTTTGCGCCTGAGTTCCCTGACAAAGAACAGTTAGAGAAGGAGAGGGAGAAGCAGGTAAGAGCACCTGGGTCTCCTCATAGAAGAAGCTACTACTTGAAGTCCAACTTGTACTTTTCAAAACACTGGCCACTCCCCCATCCCAGGGCTAAAACTAAATCAAAGAAATGCTTGGACAAACTAGAGCTCAAGAATCTGTCAATAAAAAGAGCAAATACCCTCTGATAATGGCTCTGTACGGGAAAAACTCCCGGTCTGTGACACGGTATCAACTATAATCCAAGCCCAGTAATGAATTTAGTACTCAAAAACAGCCCTCAGTGGACATGGAGATGACACTCTCAGAGTCCTTAAGACTGAGGATCTGGCTTAGAGGATCCTGAAGGGACCACTGTGGGTCCTCCACCACACAACTCTGGCATCACAGCACAGTAGGAAGATCAAATTCCTGAGATTACTGGTGGTGAGTCTGATGCTCGACTGCCCACTTTTCATTTTTAACTACTATACCTCATGGTATCAGTCCTCAGATAATTTCAACAGGCGCAAAAACAGTACTCTAAAAACCTACCCCTATTACAACAACCATAAAAAATTTAAAGTGAGGAGATAGAAGAACATATCACAAATGCTGGAGCAAAAATAACCCTGAAAGGAAACCCAACCCAGCAGAACTGCAGAACATAACAGAAGAGCAGTTCAAGGCAACAGTACTAACAATGCTTATTAAATTTAAAACAAACAAACAATGGAGGATATAAAACAACAACAAAATAAAGATAAAGAAAATATGAGGCAGTTACAGTTAGAAATAATGGAGCAAGGGCCTCCCCGGTGGCACAGCGGGTTGAGCACAGTGCTTGAAGCTGCGCAGCCTCTGCAGCGTGGGTAGATTCCCAGCCGTCCAGGGAGATAACCACATGGGGCGGCAGACCTTTCCTGTCTCGCTCGCTGCTCCCCTCAGCAGTGTTTTCGGTCATCTGCTTCTTCTGCTCCCCGCTCTGTCTCTGGTGAATCCTCACACCCTCCCGTGCCTCTGGCCTGTACCCCAGTTCTTGTATAAATAAATAAGTCTTTAAAAAAAAAAATAATGGAGCCAACCGACACTACAGTTGATTTAAAAAATACAATTGATGGGCCTCCCTGGTGGCGTAGCGGTTGAGTGCTGGGCTGTGAAACTGCCCGCAACCTCTGCAGCGCCGCTACCAGCGAGGGTCCCACATGGCGTGCAGACCTTTCCTGCTGTGCCCGCTGCTCCCCTCAGCAGTGTATTTCATCAGTCTGCCTGTTCTGCTCCCCGCTCTGTCTCTGGTGAATTCTCTCACCTTCCCGCACTTCTGACTGTACCCAGTGCTTGTATAAATAAATAAATAAACAAACAAACAAATAAATAAATAAATCTTTAAAAAAAATACAATTGAGGATCTCAACAGCAGACAAACAGAAGCATGAAAAGAATCACTGTATTCAAAGATACATTTGAGAATAGAACCCAGAAAAAGTTTTTTGAAAAGTGAAAATAGTGTAAGAGTCCTCTGTGATAACTTTAGAGAAATAATATCTATAGGGATCACAGAAGAGAGAGGCATAGAAAATTTAGTCAAAGAAATAACTGTTGAAAACTTGAATCTGGGAAGTGAGTCAGACACTGTGATCTGAGAGTGATCAGAGGCCCAAACAAAATAATGCCAGACAAGCACCCATCAAGATGTATTATAATAAAGCTGTTGAAAACGGATGACAAGGACAGAGTATTTATCAAGAGGAAAAAAAGGGTAACCTATAAGGGGACATCTGTGAGACTGTCAGATTTCTCAGTAGAAACATTATAAGCATGAAGGAAGTGAAAGGAAATATTGCAAGTACTTAAAGAAAAAGGTTTCCAGTCCAGAATACTTTATCCAGCAAGATTAACATTCAAGATAGAAGGAAGAGTAAGACACATCACTGAAAAGCAAAAATTAAAAGAATTTATAAATACCAAGTCACACATGGAAGAAATTCTAAGGGTGTATTGTAAAGCAACAGAACAACAAATAAACAGGCAAAAAACACCCAAATCATTAACATGCCAAAGGAGAAGAGGAGGAGATTAATAATGTGGTCCATTAGAAGAAATCAGGGACCAGACTATCAAATGGGTCACACAAATAGTCCATCATTTACTAACCTCAGTAGACCCCTCAAACAAAAATTAATAGAACTTAGTACCTAAGACAACAGAACTGAAACTTAAAAATAATACAAAGCCCTCAAAAACAAAAAACAAAATAAATAAAAAACAAAAAAACAACAACAACCAGTAACCAACCAACCAACCAAAAAACAACAAGATGGTAATGAGCACATCGGTCTCAATAAACACCTCAAACCTAAAGGGCCTACATTCACTAGTCAAAAGATAGAGAGTAGCTGAAAAGATTTCAAAACAAAGCCCAACCTTTTGTTATTTACAAGAAACTGACCTTACCAACAAAGACAAGCACAGCTTTATAGTTAAAAGCTAGAAGACAGTTATACAAGCAGAAGAGAACCAAAGAAAAAGAAAAAACCCAACAGACTTCCAATTAAGGAAGGTAATAACAGATAGAGAAGAACACTATATTATAGTTAAAGAAATAATACAAGAATAAGAAACACCACTCATTAATATATATGCATCAAATGATGGAGCACTGAGATATAAAAGACAGTAACAGAACTTAAGAGAAATGCTGGCAACAACACAATACTGAGAGTCTTTCATACACCACTTATACCAATAGGCAGATCGGCATAAGGAAACAATAGCTTTAAATGAGGAGTTAGACCAAATGGGTCTAGCAGACAGCTATAGAACACTCTGCACAAAACCACTGAATACAGACTTCTTGTACATTTAAAATATCAAGTATTAGAGGAAGAAAAAGGAAATCATCAAAAAAAAATCTGATACTATTTCTTGTATGAAACAGTACACTAGAGTTTTTTTTGTTATTTAAACAAAAATATCAATCAAACCAACACTCTAACGAACTACAGACATAAAACATAAAAAATTACTAAGGTCACATTTGACTCTGCTTCCATAAGAGTGTTCCTCCTTACCTGATGAAGAACTTCCAGAGTAACAGGGTAAAAAAGGTTTTCAATAATTATTCGGAGTACAGGGCTCTGCCCAGGCAAGATTGTGCCTTCATTGGTAGAAGCTCCAGGAAGGGCCAGACTTCCAGACTGGACAGCACTGACAGCCTGCAGTGCAGCTTGGACTCTCTACATAACAATCCAAAATAAGAACTTCTGATTACATAGAAGCATTACATAAACCCTAAAAATTAGCTGATATGAAGTAATATAGTTAAAAATATCGATATCTACTCTGGATGTGCACATATTCCATTTATAATGTCAAGAGCCAAAAGACCCGACTTCTTACCACAATGACATACAAATTTACTTGATGGGAAAAAAAATACATGGCAAATGAAGAGGAAAATTTTCATATTTTTACCCCTACTTTTTAAATGACAATGGAAGAAAATTATTAAAATAATGTTAAAGACAACTTAAAAATCAATCAAGAACCTCTTCCTTCTCTCCCCCCCTCCTTTCACTTCTTTTTCCTTTATGAACAATTCAGTTTTAAAGTCTTTGGGTGCTACATGGAGGAAAAGAGCTGTGGTGATTCAAAGTGGGGTTAGGAGAATATCTGTGAGGTAAGGCTGCCTGCCAAGGAGAAAGGAAGCCCCAAACAATGAAAGGAAGATTCTATGTGTGGAGGTGGCTCAGTGATAGTTGTAAGAACCTGAGTTTCATCAGAAGGGTAAGAAGGCAACAAAAGGAGAACAGCCTGGACAGGGGCGTCAGAGTTCAAAGAGAGTCAGGAATGGGTCTACATGGTCCAGGGAACTAATGTGGTAAAGAGAACAAGAGCAGAGTAAAGAAGAGGTTCATGAGGGCCTGAATGGGGTAAGGAAGAAATTCGGTGGAAGGGGAGGCTGACATGGAGTGTTTGAGCCCAAGGAGGGGTAGACAGACATTTCTAAAAACCATGTTCCAATGAAAGAAACAAGGGCATGCTAAAAAAAAAAAAAGTCTAATTACAGAGCAAGTACAAGGAAAGGACAATGTAGTATTTGTGGTTTTTTGGTTATTGTTTTCACCAGAGTGCAAGCAGGTACTGTTATTTTTTTACCAGAATGCAAAGAATGAGGGGGAACATGTCAAAGGGTTTCCAAATGGCCAAATCTAGTACAATTTGAGAATCAACATAATGATTAATAACTAATCCATCAATAATAAATAAAATAGGAAATCAAGCCCATACTGATAAAAATTGACAACTAATAAGAAACCATGTTTAAAATGCCTTAAACTAACATCTCCCAAAATATTTTTCTTTACCCAATCGGCCTAAATTTACAGCAAAATCTAGCAAACATCAGTCTAATAAAGTAATCGAAGTTATGCAACAAGAACTGAAATCAAGTGCCATCTATATGATGCAACAAGAAAAAAGGAACATTATTTTTGTGATGCATCTGTCAAAGATTCCTGAATCTTATCGTAAGAAACATCCCAGACTCAACTGAGAAACATCCTAGAAGATAAGGTGCTGATAATTTTCAAAAGTATCAAGGTCATGTAAGTCAAAGACAAACTGAGGAACTGTTTCAGATTAAAGGAAACTAAGAAGATAGAACTTCTAAATCAAACATGGGATTCTGAAAGTTTTTTTTTAAAGATTTATTTATATGCATACAAGAGCTGGGGTGCAGGCCAGACATGCGGTGGGGAGGGGGGGCGGTTAGAGGATTCACCAGAGAGAGAGTGGGGAACAGAACAGGCAGACTGACTGAAATACACTGCTGAGGGGAGCAGCGGGCAAGACAGAGAGGTCTGCTGCACCATGGGGGTTGCTCCATGGTGGGGGACTGAACTCCTGCTACAGAGGCTGCGGATTGCTTCACAGTGTGGTGCTTATCCCTTGGCCACCAGGGAAGCCCCCTGAAAGTTTGTTTAGGACATCATTAGGACAATTGGCAATGTCTGAATGTGGTCTGAAGGATGGAGGGAAATAACACATCAATGTTAATTTCCTGATTTTGACTACTGCATTCTGGTTGTATAGGAGAATGTTCTTGTTTGTAGAAAATGCACACTGAAAGTACTGGACAATGAAGACAGGCCTGATTAGCACTTTATTCCCAAATGCCTTGAGAAATCAAAAGCTCTCTATACTGTATCTACAACTCTTTTCTAATTTTGTGACTGTCTCAAAGTTAAAGGATTTAAAAACAAAGTAAAAGGAGGGCAAACTAAAGGAAAGAAATGCGACGAATGATAATTGAAGTCAAATGCAAATTTTCATCAATCTTTTTTTTCATACTTATTTCTTAAGAATGCTGATATTAAGGGACTTTCTGGGTGGCGAATCAGGTTGAGCAGAGATGTGATGCTGTCCGCAGCCTCTGCAGCGCCCATTCGATTCCCGGCTGGCCAGGGAGATTCCCACATGGTGTTGCAGACCTCTCCAGCCTCGTCTGCTGCTCCCCTCAGCAATGTATTCAGTCCTTCTGCCTGTTCTGCTCCCTGCACTGTCTCTGGTGAATTCTCTCACCCTCCTGCACCTCTGGCCTGTACCCCAGTGCTTGTATAAATAAATAAAATCTTAAAAAAAAAAACAAAAAACACACTGGTATTAAGTAAAATGTTTGTGTTTGTGTCATAAAATGAAAATTCCCACCACTTTAATGTAGTTATTTTCATTTTTACATATTGTATTCACTTGTAATTTTAAAGATCACAGTACATTGTACGTTATTTTAACATTTCATTGTTTTCATAACTTAAATATTTAGTGAATACTTTATCATATCGTCCCTCAATGTAATGAGTAGATTTCCAACATTTTACTAGGATGAATAACATTAATGATTGTATTAAATAAAATAACTTCTGAAAATTGGCAGTTTTTTATTTTCTGTATGCTTAACACTGAAAAACCTCCATTTTCATACTTACATGCAACATTTTTTTATCCCTGTACACAACACTTTAACAGCATTTACAGACCATACACAGATATTTATGTGTTGGGTAATACATAATTGCCAACTATTCAGTTTTCAAAGGATCATTATCTTTGAGAACAATATATGAATAATTATTTGAATAGTTTGTATCTTTAGTTTTTAAAACTATATAAAACCAAGTATGGAATACTCAGTACCCCAATCCCACTTCAAAAAATGGCAGTTTATCGCATTTGTTTTACATTGAGCTCCCGGGTACAATTTTATTTGAAATAAAGGTTTCTACTGCTTTAGGAAGTATGAGAACTGAATCGGACATTCACTTAGAGCCTATAATTAGATGAGGATAAGGTGGGGAGGTGACTCAATAAACAGAGACCCAGAACTGAAAGGGGGTCAGAATTAACAGAGAAGGATATTATATCACAACTCTATCTTCATCCTCCCGTCCACCCCCACTGCCCCTGTTGTCCAACAGAATTTCCTGTAATGATGGAAACGTTCAATTATCTGCATTGCCCGATATAGTAGCCACAAGCAATGTGTAGCTATTGAGTACTTGAAATAGAACCAGTTCAACTGAGGAACTCATTTGTAATTTTTAAATTTATTCAAATTTAGCCATGTGTAGAGCTACCAGACTAGACCTGTTGAGAAAAAGATATCCTCACAGTGAGGTTCTAAGTGGAATAATGGTTCCTTCGCCTCTTCGATTTAGAATGACTAAATCTTATCAAAACTAAGCCTATACAACCAAAAATAAACTTTACTTCATCATCTTATCATTCTATCGATTTTTTTTATTAAACAATTCTAAGTAAATGTATGCTGCTTCTGGTTCTATTATTGCTACTGCCATTGTTGTTCCTCTTCCTCCACCCCTTCCTTGAAGGCAGAAGGAATACCACAGTGAAGAAATATGGGAAGCCATGGTGTGTATTGTTCTAATCTTTCTAGAATTGTCAGCATACGCTGCTTTAGTACTTCACAGAGCACTGAGTATAAAAGTATAGCAGGCATGCAAAAAATGCTTTAGAAAATGAAATTCTGAGAAAGTAACACCAGAAAAAAAAGGTTTATAAGTAACTATAGTTTCAATTTCTAATTAGGCAAAAATATTTCAATAAAAAACAGAAATCGAGGTATAATTCATAGAGGATAACAGAAAAACCAAACAAGCAAGCAAGGATGTCATTTGCATATAAAGATGTATTTCAGATACAAAGAAAATATAACCTGTACATCGGAGTCAACAAATTATGAGACAGCAGAATTCCTATTATGGGACATCATTTATAAATGTTTCAGCAACAAACTCTCAGGAATGGTTATAGTAATTATTAATGAAGGACGTAGCAGCAGTATGGTCAGGAAACCAACAAATATTTTATTGTGATGGGGGAGGGAGACACACTTGATGGGAAATTGAAACATGCCTGAATAATGTGAAGAGAACATTTCTAAAGTCAAAATGTAAATGAATGTAAATAAAATTCATAAATCTCAAGTGTTCAGCTTGATATTTGGGGGGGGAATTCTTACATGGTTATCCCTTTGTAGATATATAAAATTATATAGTCAAAAACTGTGTAAGATCATGACTACTATTAACAAAACTATCTCTCTCTCTCTCTTTTTTTTAAAGATTTGTTTATTTATGCATACAAGAGCTGGGGTATAGGCCAGAGATGGGGTGGGAGGGGTTAGAGGATTCACCAGAGACAGAGTAGGGTATAGAACAGTCAGATTAACCAAAATACACTGCTGAGGGAGCAGCCAGCAAGTCAGGAGAGGTCTGCTGCGCCATGTGGGTAGCTCCCTGGCCAGCTGGGGATTGAACTCGTGCTGCAGAGGCTGCGGACTACTTCATAGGTTGCGTCTTAACCCCTTGCGCCACCAGGAAGGCCCCCACAAACTATTTCTTGACTGCTAAACCTCAAAATATGATCCAAATCTTGTAGCTAAAACATCACTTTAAATCCAGTGACAAAAATACTTCATAATCACCTGACCCCCTGGGAAAGCTTGTCCTGAAGCTGGAAAAGAAGTAATGTGTGCATTTGGGGATAACTTGCTGTTCAGAGAACAAAAAGAGAATGAAACACTAACTTACTAACTTTCTGGGGGCTCTCAGAATAAAAAGATATCTGATATTTTTATATATGCAAATCGGTACTTTCAATTTTTACCTCGACTATTTTTTAAAATAGAAAAAATATTTTAATAGAAAAAATATTTTATCAAACATCAAGGCAAAGAATTGCACAAAAGTAACAAAGCGAAGAGGATACCAGGAAGGATTCAAGGCTATCTAAGAATAAACTAGGTCATCTGGGCTGGTTTTGGTTGCCAAGCAACTGGATTTCTCACTGTTTCCCTTTAGAATAATCCAGTCTTTAGAGTTCTATTAAATTGTTTATTCTTTTTCAAGATTTATACTAACATATCTAGGAATCACACTAATGAGAAAACTACAACTTACTTACAAAATTTAAAAACTCTACCAAGAGACAAGAAACAAAATATAACTTCCTCTCACATGGATCAGAGAGCAAGATAAATCTTACCTTCAAATTAATCAATAAAAACAGCCCAAGTCCAACTACTTTTGGGGGGTAAGAGTTACCCAGATAATTCTAATATATCTGGAGAAATAAGATATGTTAACTGGTGATTTTCTGGAAAAAAAAAAAAGAGAGTAAAGAATGGGGTCTTGTCAAGAATGCATTAAGCCATAGGGCACACTGAAATAGGAATGGAACAGAATGGAATCTGAAAGACAGTACAGATTAAACATGTTAGCAGCACACACAGGAAGGCAGATTTGGGCCATGCAAACAGAAAGTGGAGGCGAGTATAACAAGTATATATACCTATGTATGTTGTAAGTAGGCATGGCATGTGCATGGATATAACATTGTGACAAAGGACAGTTTCATGAGTGGATAAAAAAATGGGTTATTTAGGGGCCTCCCTGATGGCGCAGCAGGTTGAGCACAGTGCTGTGAAGCCTTCCGTAGGCTCTGCAGCGTGGGTTCGATTCCCGGCCAGCCAAGGAGATTCCCATATGGCGCAGCAGACCTCTCCTGTCGCACTTGCTACTCCCCTCAACAGTGTATTTTGGCCCGTCTGCCTGTTCTGTCCCCCACTCTGTCTCTGGAGAATCCTCTCACCCTCCTGTGCCTCTGGACTATACCCCAGCTATTGTAAAAATAAAAAATAAATCTTGAAAAAAAATGGGTTCTTTAAAAATAACAAAGGGGAAACTAGTCACTGGGTATTAAAAAAAGAACAAAACCCTACCCTCACTTCCCACCCCCAAAATAATCCTAATAAAACAAAGATTTAAATATTCAAATAAAAACAATCAAAACACAAAAGTATAAGAAGAAACCCTAGATTAAAAAATATTTTTAACCTTGGTATGCTAAATCTTTCTGAGCACAGTACCAAAGTCGGAAACCATAATACAATCTTAAGAGTCCTGACTATGATATGAAAACATTTAAAAAATTATACTGGCAGACAACTCAGAGAGACAGAAAAGAGAATGGTTGTTGCCAGGGGCTGAGGATAGTGGTGGAATGGGAAGTTAGTGTTTAATGGGTTTAATGGGAGTCTAGAAAAATGTTATCTGGTAAGGTAACAGAAGTGATGGGTTGTACACTGTACTTATGCCACTTAAATTCCTAAATTTCATTTACAGATATCACTAAGTTCTTTAAATTATCAAATAAAAGTAAGGAAACAATAAAATGTAGTTTCTCACCTAACACACTAACAAAGACAGGAAAATTGCCTGTGATAATACTACCATGTCACCCTAAATTAGCTTTACTTTACAGAAAGTACTTTACAGAAAGTACTTTACAGAATAACTTTACAGAAAGTAATCATGGAACATTTACAAAATTAAAAATATGCATATGCTTATTCACAGCAATTTTGCTGTTGGGAAAATAATAAGATAACGTTACAAACGTGCCAAGATATATACATAGATGACAATACACCTAATAGAAGAAAGGCCACACACCAAAATGTTAGCAAAATATTACTTATTGGGCCTCCTCTGGTGGTGCAGCGGTTGAGCACTGGGTTGCGAAGCTGCCTGCAGCCTCTGCAGTGCCGGTTCGATCCCCGGCTGCTCCCCGACCACCGGAGGAGGGTCCCACATGGCACGCAGACCTCTCCTGCCGCCCGCTGCTCCCCTCAGCAGTGTACTTCGGTCCTTCTGCCTGCTCTGTTCCCTGCTCTGACTCTGATTAATTCTCTCACCCTCCCACGCTTCTGACTGTACCCAGTGCTTGTATAAATAAATAAATAAATAAACAAATAAATAAACAAATAAATCTTTAAAAAATACACATTATTTATTAGTTATCTTTGGGTAATTGGATTATCATTATTTATCTATTTATTTTTGGCTTTACTTTCCTGGATTGTCTGAATGTTTTGCATGAGCATGTATCCTATTTATAAATTATGAAACCAATTTTTCACTTTAAAAGGTCCACACCATTTTAAAACATCTAACATATCATATACTCTAAGTTTATATAGCTTATTCTATGCCATTAATACCTCTTTAAAATAAGGTAAGGATTATGTGCAGGAAATGTCACTATTTTTAAAATGTGGAAAACTATAATTTAAATTCAGCAGCTCTTATTATAATGACTTTCAACAGAATCAAAGAGCTAAATGAGTTCTTTTGAAGAGAGCATGCACATGGGGGCCAAACATGCTCTTAACAGAATTAAAAAACCTCTTTCTTAAAAGATACAAGCTTGGTGGACATATTTTTTCTATCCTTAAGTAGCTGTAAAATTATCTTAACCACTGAAAAATCAACCTGCAGAAACACAAAAGCCTCAATATGAATTATACAAAAATTAGGAGATGGGGTAAGAAGTGATATTCTCAACTCCATAATCATCTCGAAGAGTAAAAAATCATTCATTCAACGTATCGATACAAATTCCTATTAACATCTTAAGTTCATTCAGTTAACATCACAACAGAACATCACTCAACTTAATGCCTTTATTATATATTCTATAAAAAGGGATTGACTTATAAATGCATGTTATACAGTCTGTGAAAAGAAAGGATTGGCTTTAAAGTTCCTCTAGATATGAGATTTTAAGAGGTATATAACAATGTAAGTTATTTCTTTTTTCTCATGAACTTATTTATAAATGTCACTACTTCCTTATTCCTAAACCTACAGGAAAGAATTCACATATACAATATCCACTAATAAAGTACCCGAAGATGAAGGTAAACATGATTTTTTTCCCTTTGACAAATACAAGGCTAGTTTTAAATTATTGTATTATGTTTTCTTGTAACTTTTTAAAGTGCCTTTAATACTTACAGCTTGATTAGGTAGATTATCAGTCTTAAGTTCTCTGTGATTGGAATACTGAATAAAAACAGGCTGGCTTCGAAGGTGAGGAGTAACAGGAGTGTAATAATTCACCATAGTAACAGCAGCTTCCTCAGAAGCCATTTCTAAGAAAGCCTGCAATATAAACACAAGAGGGTAAAGTGAAAACTCATGTTTTTGAAAAAACAGTTAAGAACTATTTTGTCACTCTGCCTGGCTCTAAACTCATGGTTCCTCTATAGAAATAACACTGGCCCGACAGGTACAACAAAACTTGCTTTATTTAAAATATATCATTGATGTTAACTGGAAACACATTAGAAAATTTGGGTTCAATAAAGGATTTGGGAGTGACAAACTTTCCCTTAAGTGATTTTATGTGGTTTTGGTTTTCCTCTTATTCCTATTATAAAATTTAGAAGTAACTATAAAGGCAAAAATAAACGTGTACACCACTATTGTAAATGGATGCTTTCAGGGTTTAAGATTTAATAATAACACCTTCATAAAAAATTCTCAAGACGGAACATAATGATTTGCTTTCCTTTACCTTTCAGTTATTTATGTATACAATTAAACAGAGCAATCAGGTACAGAAATGGGAGGACTTTTTACATTAAACCAATATTGATGAGTCACTCAAGTGATTATTTTGATATCTGTAATCATTGTACTAATAGATGTTTAAAGAATAACACACCAATTGCTGAGATGGAAGTAACACCTTGGTAGTTATGTCTTAATCTATGTACGATTTTGTTAGCTGTCAGGACTCCTATACTGACTGAGCTTTAGCGTGGCAGGTTGTGCACCCTAACCTAATGGCTAGTTAGGAAGATAAAATACAGATATTTACTAACCATTCTGAGGCCTCAGAACTACCTCTGAGAATATGTTATATTTATGTTCAGGAAGAGTATTTGATCCTTTGATGCAAACTACTAGTTAGATAATTCTTTTTTTAATTATAGTAAAGCATTTTATTAGCAAGCATATAGTAACCATTTCAAATTATGTATTAAACATTTATGATTTGTTTATAAAATATGCATTAACAAAATTTACTGAACACAGTAAATGCTAAATACCTACAAATCAAACTATTTCTTACTTTATACTTGCCTTACTTGTCAAACCTTTCCATTTGGCAAATATTCCAGGAAAGGAATATTAACTTGACAAATGTAAAATATGATGCTTAACTGTATCAATCAAATGTCTCAACTAAATCAATTAAATGTTTCAATTGAACTACTGAAGTTCTATTCAATATTATAGCTTAATTATTGAATACTATTCAATATTCTGTGAGTCAGTGATGTTAGCCAAAGGATTAAATATTACTAATTACTCAATCCACAATAAACAAGAATCCACTATCTTCAAGAAATAAAACACTTTGAGTGATTTATACTATCTAAAAAGTATAAGTGTCTATGATGCAGTTTAAAGTCACTATCCCGGTGTATCATTAACACACTTTTTCTAATCTAAGAGGATAAAAATGATGAACACAACTTAAAACAACTACAGCAATACTTCCTAATTCTCTGATTTTTATTAATCTTTTCAACAAAGAATTTTAAATTGTACTCTAATAATATTCACCACATGGGGAAAGAATATCCTTCTGCAAACTCATTAATGTTAAGAACCAATTCAATGTCTAAAGTCAGTCACATAAAGGAAAAGCTAATGTTTTTCAAACACATGATTCCTATCATGTTTTTCCTGCAAGTATAAAAATTCATATGTAAAATTAAATTTTTCCACATGAAATCCTTTAAAGAATTGTTTGTCCAAAGCATTCAGCTCAAGGGTTCAATTTTCAATATGTGGGATGGAGAGAAATTCAAACACCACTACCAGAGAAAGGCTGGTGAAAATAACCCCCACTTTACCTCAACACTCCACCTCCACATACCTAGAAAAGATTAACTCCTACAAGTAGTTCTAGATTCATCAGAATCTCTTGAAATTATGACTAGATTATTAATAAGAGCATTATGATCAAAAGACAAATAATGAAACAGCTATTTAGCACTAGAGATAAATATAAACTCGTATCGAACAGGAGACAATGGAAACGACCTGCTGTCTTTCACAGCCATTTGACATAATATACAGAATACACTACCTGAGCCATGATAATGTTCACGATACTTGACTGGCAGACACCTCACAGCCATTAGACATGGCCACGGTGACTCTTTTCAAACCATGTGAACTATAACATTCTCAATAGAGACAAATGTGTTAAAATAAAAAGCTAAGTGCACTATTTCCCAAAGATGTAAGAGGAATGTGTAAATACTACAGGGTTGAATATTAGAACATGTTATTGAACTTCTCAAGATCTTAACAAGCTCCTATCAATTAAACAGGGATGTTAATTACTAGGAAAAAACTAAAAAATTCATCCCAGTGGGGCCTGAGTTAGAACAGAAAGGACACAATCACTGAAATCAATGTAAGTATTATACTTTTGTCATTGTCACCATAAAAGCAAGGTTATTTATTTGCCCTTGAAAAAAACCTGTTAACTTCAAAAATGCAGAAACTTTTACATTTTCTTTCAAATTATTAAGGAATCTACATATTAATTTTGAAACTAAAAATACCAAACATGTCTGAATAGATTTTGGAAAACTGAAATGAATTTTTTAATTTGCCAAATGAGATATAATTTATATCTTCTGTCAGGGTCTTTTGATATTCACAGGATATTTTCATAAAACATCTTATAAATAATAATATATGTTTACTGTTAAGGAGGAAAAAAGACAAGTGAGACAATACTGTTTCCTGTGTCAATATTTATGTTACTTCCTGTCATACAAAAAATTTATTTAAAAATGACTTTATAGGGCCTCCCTGGTGGCGCAGGGATTAAAGACAGTGCTGTCAGGCTATCATGAGCCACTGCAGCACAAGTTCCAACCCCAGCAGGCCAGGGAGCAACCCATATGGCATAGCAGTCCTCTCCTGTCTAGCCCGCTGCTCCCCTCAGCAGTGTATTTCAGTAGATCTGCCTGTTCTACTCCCCACTCTCTCTGGTGAATCCTATCACCCACCCCCCCAAACATTTGGCTTACACCCCAGTTCTTGTATGCATAAATAAATCTTTAAAAAAAATAAAAAATAAAAGTGACTTTATAGAATTTAGAAGATACAGAAAAGTTAAAAATAAAAATCATCTTTAACACCCAGAGATAATCACTGTGGGTCAATCTTTAAATATTGCATACCTGGCTTTTTCCTTTCAACATCAAAAGATTAGTTACTTTGCCAAATGGTAGACCTAATGATATGACCTCTGCTTCAGTGACATCACTTGGAATTTTGCGAAGATGGAGAACGCGAGAAGGTGAACAGGGAGGTCTATCTCCTTTAAATTTCTTGTTGTCATTCCCATTAGCTAAAAAACAAAATATTTTTAAGTTATTGAAACTAATTTGGGTTGACATACAACATTAACCATATTGTCACATTTCATCCTCCCAGAGTTTCAGTTTAAAATTCAAGGAATTCTGGGGCTAGTAGTAAACAGGGATGAGAGAAGGACAGTGTTGGTTTGTTTTTTACTTTTTCACTGCAGGCATTAAATTCTTTTAAATTGAAGTCTGCTTTTTAACTTAAAGGAAAAAGTACTGAAATAAATGAATTTCTATTTGGAGGTATTATGCCTCGCAATGGTCAGCTTTTTTGTTTCAGAGAACAATAATTACAAAGTCTTTAATGTATTCTTAAGGATACCTTTCTAATTTGCTATATTCTAAATAATTAAAGGAACAATAACTTTTAGGAAACACTACATATATTCTACATCTATCAAATCCTGGATTTGATATCAAATTTGTCTTTGACCCATACGTCTATGAAAATTAAGTTTATTTCTTGGGTGTCACATCTATTTCTTACTAATCTATTTTTTAAGAATTTTTTAGAAGTTCAATTATGGTTTCCTAGGAAAATTATATTTCTTATTATATAACAGTAATTTTTAACATAAGCATCACCTTGTTGGAAACGTAAATTTGCAGCCCCAACCCAGACCTACTGAATCAGAAGCAAGGGAGGACTCGGCAACTTGCGTTTTATTTATTTTTTTTTGGAGGGAAATCAACATCTTTATTTTTTTAATTAAGATTTTATTTTATATAATTCTTACATCATTTTTCATTTTTGCACAATGTATGCATTTTCATTTTGGTTATATTCCCCATACAATTGCACCCCCTCCTCCTTATTTTGACCCTAGTCCTTCCTCTCCCATTCCCTCCCACCCCGTAGTGTATCTCTGGTTTATAGTTGCTTGTTGATTTTGATTTTTACTTTGTATTAATTAGTCTTTTTCCTGGTCCCTTATTTAGGTTTTCTAAATTCCTCTATGAGTCAGACCATCCGGTATTTTTCTTTTTCTTTCTGACTTATTTTGCTGAGCATGATCCCTTCTAGCTCCATCCATGTTGCTGCAAACTGCATGTGTTTATCTTTTTTGATTGCTGAGTAATATTCCATTGGGTATATGTACCACATCTTCTTGATCCAGTCCTCACACCATGCACAAAAACCAACTCAAAATGGATTGAAGAACTAGACATAAGACCTGAAACCATAAAATACATAGAAGAAAATATAGGTGAAATACTACATGACATGCACCTCAAAGACATCTTTACAGATACATCACCCAAAGCAGTGATAGTGAAGGCAAAGATAAACAGCTGGGACTACATCAAATTAAAGAGCTTCTGCAGAGCAAAAGAGACAATAACCAAAACAAAGAGAAACCCCACCAACTGGGAGAACATTTTTGCACACAACACTAATGATAAAGGACTGATCACAAAAATCTACAAAGAGCTGATGAGACTCAACAAAAACAAAGAAAACAATCTAATCAAGTTGCGTTTTAAAAGAGCCTTCCAGATGACTCTAATGTGACTTGAAGTTTGTGTTTTCATTAAGTCCTATCATTTTAACACTGACAAAGACTAGAATTGATGAGCCTAAGAAGAATACTCAAATTAATATACATAAGATTCAAAATGTTTTTCTCAGAAACACTACCATACTGAATGCAAATTACTTAAATGTCAAAAGTTTCACAATTTTTTATTTAATACTAAATAGCATTCTTAACACTCTAAAGAGGAAAACATAATCTCTCCAAGTACTGATTTTTATCATTTTTCTAAAACACTAATAGAACTTTACAATCAGATGGCTGGATCCTAAATAAACAAACTTCATAAGGACCAAATAAAAACTACATGCAACATTCTGTACCAATTTTTGTGGCACAGAACTCAACTTGATTACAGGTGACTAGATTAACTTAATACACAAACCAGCACATGCTCCCAAATTCTCTATATTCATGAATGAAGACAGGATCATATAAGAATCCAAAAGATTATCAATTCTTGGTGCGCAGACCTCTCCTGCCGCGCCCGCTGCTCCCCTCAGCAGTGTATTTCATTGGTCTGCCTGTTCTGCTCCCCGCTCTGGCTCTGGTGAATTCTCTCACCCTCCCGCGCTTCTGACTGTACCCAGTGCTTGTATAAATAAATAAATAAATCTTAAAAAAAAAAAAAAAAGATTATCAATTCTTAGAGGGAGGTCTTTACAGGTCTGTCCCTGTAAGCAGCAAATGCCTAGTCAAACTGGGAAGTAAGAGGCAATCCAATATTTACTGGGAGTTAATATGGGATGTAAGGGATTCTTTCTCCTATTTTTTTAAAAGATTTTATTCATGCATACACAAAAGCTGGGGTGTAGGCCAGAGGTGTGGGGGAGAAGGGGTGAGCGGGTTCACCAGAGACAGAGTGGGAGCAGAACAGGCGGACTGACTGAAATATACTGCCTTCCTCTAGTCTCACTACCCTCCACTTCAAATCAATACAACATCACATTAACTAAAATGGGGTCGCATTCTCTTCTGGGAAAGTTATCTGACATAACTGAACCTCAGATTTTTCTCCTGCAAAAATTATTATAATAGCAGATTCCTTGAAACTTAAGAAAATATAATTAAATGCTAGGTATAATGCCTAGCATAGTGATTAATAATACATGTCTAAACACAAAAAAAGAAAACTACAGGCCAATCTCTCTAATGAACACAGATGCAAAAATCCTCAACAAAATTTTAGCTATCAGAATCCAACAATGTATCCATAAGATAATTCACCACACCAAGTAGGATTCATTCCAGGGATGGTTCAACATCCAAAAATCAATCAGTGTTATCCAACACATCAACAAGAAGAAATATAAAGACCATATGATAATATTAATAGATGCTGAGAAAGCTTTCAACAAAGTACAACACCCATTTATGATAAAGGCCCTTGAAATTCTTGGGATACAAGGAACATACCTCAACATCATAAAGGCCATATATGACAAACCCATAGCCAGTATAATTCTCAATGGCAAAAGCTGAAAGCATTTCCATTAAGATTTGGAACAAGACAAGGATGTCCACTCTCACCACTGCTTTTCAATATAATACTGGAAGTCCTAGCCAGAGCAATAATACAAGAGAAAGACATACGAGGAATCCAAATAGGAAAAGAAGAATTTAAATTATCACTATTCGCCGATATGATGATATACACAGAGAACCCCAAAAACTCCATAGAAAAACTAATTCAACTAATCAATCATTTTAGTAAAGTGGCAGGATACAATATCAACACGCAAAAACCAGTAGCCTTTCTATACACAAACAATAAATCTGAAGAAGAAATCAAAAAAACCATCCCTTTTATTATTGAAAAAAAAATCAAATACTTGGGAATAAACGTAACAAAAGAGGTAATGGACCTATACAAAGAAAACTATAAAACACTGTTAAAAGAAATAGAAGAAGATACAAAGAAATGGAAAGACATCCCCTGCTCGTGGATTGGAAGAATAAACATTATCAAAATGGCCATCCTACCAAAAGCAATTTACAGATTCAATGCTATTCCAATAAAAATTTCAATGACATTCTTCAAACAAATAGACTATTGATGAAATTCATATGGAGCCACCAAAAACCCCAAATAGCCAAAGCTCTCCTGAAAAAAAAAAAAAGGGAATGGAGGCATCACACTCCTAGACTTCAAACTACACTACAAAGGCATAATCATCAAAACTGCATGGTATTGGAGCAAGAACAGATACACGGACCAATGGAATCAAATAGAAAATCCAGAAATAAATCCACAGATTTATGGTCAACTAATCTTTGACAAAGGAACAAAGAATATGCACTGGAGCAAAGAAAGTTTGGTCAGTAAATGGTGCTGGGAAAACTGGGTAGTTACATGCAAAAGAATGAAGCTTGACTACTACCTCATACCATGCACAAAAATCAACTCAAAATGGATTGAAGAACTAGACATAAGACCTGAAATCGTAAAATATATAGAAGGAAATATAGGCGAAACACTACATGATATGCACATCAAAGACATCTTTACAGATACATCACCCAAAGCAGTGATAGTGAAGGCAAAGACAAAGAGCTGGGACTACATCAAATTAAAGAGCTTCTGCAGAGCAAAAGAGACAATAACCAAAACAAAGAGAAACCCCACCGACTAGGAGAAAATTTTTACACACAACACTAATGATAAAGGACTGATCACAAAAATCTACAAAGAGCTGATGAGACTCAACAAAAACAAAGAAAATAATCCAGTAAAAAAGTGGGTAGAAAAGCTAAAAAGAAACTTCTCCAAAGAGGAAATGCAAATGGCCAACAGGCATATGAAAAAATGTTCAACATCACTTGTAATCAGGGAAAATGCATATCAAAACTACAATGAGATACCATCTTACACCAGTGAGAATGGCACATATTAAAAACACTAGCAACAATAAATGTTGGCGAGGATGTGGAGAAAAAGGAACTCTCCCGCATTGCTGGTGGGAGTGCAAAATGGTCCAACCACTATGGAGAGCTGTGTGGAGATTTCTGGACCTACTAAACATAGAGCTTCCATATGATCCAGCAATTCCACTCCTAGGTATTTACCCAAAGGACACAGAAACAGTAATTCCAAAGGGCACCTGCACCCCTATGTTTATAGCAGCACTATTTACAATAGCTAAGCTATGGAAACAACCCAAGTGCCCAAAAATAGATGACTGGATCAAGACGATGTGGTACATATACCCAATGGAATATTACTCAGCAATCAAAAAAGATGAACACATGCAGTTTGCAGCAACATGGATGGAGCTAGAAGGGATCATGCTCAGCAAAATAAGTCAGAATGAAAAAGAAAAATACCGGATGGTCTCACTCATAGCAGGAATTTAGAAAACCTAAATAAGGGACCAGGAAAAAGGCTAATTAATACAAAGTAAAAATCAAAATCATCACTTCTCGGCCTTTTGGCTAAGATCAAGTGTAAAAATCAAAATCAACAAGCAACTATGGACCAGAGACACACTATGGGGGGTGGGGGGGAAGAGGTGGGTAGAGGAAGGATTAGGGTCAATATGGGGGGGGTGCAATTGTATGGGGAATATAAACAAAATGAAAATGCATACATTGTGCAAAAATGAAAAATGATGTAAGAATTATATAAAATAAAATATTAAATAATAATAATAATACATGTCTAGATTTTCCTGAAGACTATTTACCTAAAAACATGTTCTTTCTACTTTTTTTGGTGTTAAAATTGCTCAAAATTGAAAATTGTATTATTTTATGAAATCTACTATTCAATTAAAAGACCCAAGAAAGGTTATATCTAAAGACCCAATCAAAATGATAATCTGAAAATGGGAAGTATATAAAAGTAATCATATGGCCATGATTTCATAAAAGGAACAGGAAACAAGGAAATTCTAAAGCACTGAACACAAATTTTAAGAATTACTTCCTACACATAGAGACTAATAGCCCTTCAAATCCCTGTACAGTAACTGCTGAGATGGGGAGGAGATGTTATCTCATTTCTATAGCTTGAAACAATAACAGGAGATACAAGTACAATGGCTGCCTGCCCCTTTGCAAAAAGGAGCAATTAGCAGTCAGAGCACAGATCACAAAAGCTGGAGGACAAGATCTTTTTGCCCACCCTGGCTGCCCCCAAAACTATAAGCTGCTCCTGGAGTATGTACACAGTTGCCAGCATATGACTGAGGGTGGGAGTTAGGTAATTGCTACTGCGTAAGAACTGAAATTGACACAATTTACCTACCAAGTCTTCACTTGGAATTTGTAGACATTCAATAGATTCTAGAGTTCCAAATTGGGTGCAGACAGATTGCCAGTGCAATTTTTTTTGTCCCGGTGGGGACACAGATTACTGCTACTATTCTGACAACTTCCCATAATCCTCCTTCATTTTTTAAATTCACCCTCAAAATGCAGTAACAGTGATATACCCACATATTTACAACTTTGTGAAGATGGCATCATTTTAAAAAATTTTATAATTTCATAAAATGCATGTCTATTCCTAACAAATGCTCTGGGCTCTAGAATGCCTCATAGAAAGCTTTCTTTCAACTTCATTTTGAAAACTTTTAAATGGATATTGAATTCCAATTGTGCTATTTTTAGCACTTGAAAGCTTTTGCTCTATTGTCTTTTGTTGTGCAGAGTTCCAGGCAAAAAAACTCTAGCCATTCTTATTTTTGCGCCTCTGAATAAAACGTGACTTTTTTTTCCCTCTGACTACTTTTAATATTTGTTCTGCATTCCTGGTTATTTGCAATCTGCAATTTGATTATGAGCCTCAGTGTGGTTTTTGTTGTGTTTATCTTGCTTGTGGCTCACTGACCTTCTTGGCTATGTATGCTTAACATTAAGTACCACATTTGGAATATATTTAGGTATTATTTCTTCAGATACACTGAGTATTTCTGCATTCCCCACCACCATCTTTTCTTCTGGGACTTCAATTATATGTTTAACTATAGATACTTATTTGTACTACAGGTTACTAAGATGCTGTCATTTCTTTTTCAGGTTTGTCTGTGTACTTTACTTTTCAATGCTGTACTCAAATTCACAGATCCATTTCTTCAGAGAATATAATATGTTAATGGCCAGGTATCATATTTTTATCTACATGAGCTCCATTTGATTTTTATATACAATTTTCTCCGTTACATGGATATTTTCCTTTAAATCTTTGAATAAACATTTTAAAATCCAAATCAACTAATTTCATCATCTATCATTTTATAGGTCTGTTTCTGTGGGCTGATTTTTCTTCCTGGTTTCAGGTGACAATTTTGTGGTTCTTAGCAATGTCTGACTAAATGCCTGACACAGTGAGGATTACAGGTAATTTTATTTCTGAAAAAAGTTAAATTACCTTCAGATCAGGTTTTGAAGCTTGTTTTTAAGCTTTCTAGGGGGACTTTAGCATAATCGTTATGTGAGAGCTGGTTCAGCCTTCCTGTTAAGACACAGCTCCTCTGGTGTCACATGTGCTTAAATATGCACCAGATTTTCGATGAGAACGGGCTATTCTAGTTGGGTACCACTTGAATGACTCTCAGTCCTGTATGGATCCTGTAAAGTTCAGTTTATAGCTCCTTAGACTGGTTCTTCTTTGCTTTAATTCATAGCTTCATCCTGTTCATTTGTGGCTTAATGAGCAATCCATTTAAAAGCAAATTTCTAGAACACTTACTCATGCAGCTCCTTTCTCTCCCACACTCTCTCTTAAACCCTCCACCTAAGCCTTCTTAAACTCAGGTCCGCATCCCTTCAGCTCAGCACTTGTGCCATGTTTGCTTGGGTTAACTTCATTTGTTCACCTCTCCCTGACGCCACAGTCATACTTTACCTATTTTTCATAAAAAGTACCTTATGTTGGGCCTCCCTGGTGCCCCAAGGGGTTAAGCACCACACTATGAAGCAATCCAAAGCCTCTGCAGCACAAGTTCAATCCCCGGCTGGCCAGGGAAAAACCCACATGGCATGGCAGACCTCTCCTGTCTCACCCGCTGCTCCCCTCAGCAGTGTGTTTCAGTCAATCTGCCTGTTCTGTTCCCCACTCTGTCTCTTGTGGATCCTCTCACCCACCGCATCTCTGGCCTGTACCCCAGCTCTTACATGCATAAGTAAATCTTTAAAAAAAAACTGCCTTATATTCTTTTTTTAAAATATTTATTTTAGATGACTGGATCAAGAAGATGTGGTACATATATACCATGGAATATTACTCAGCATTCAAAAAAGATAAACACATGCAATTTGCAGCAACATGGATGGCACTGGAAGGGATCATGCTCAGCAAAATAAGCCAAAAAGAAAAAGAAAAATACCGGATGGTCTCACTCATAGCAGGAATCTAGAAAACTTAAATAAGGGATCAGGAAAAAGAATAACTGTAAGAAAGTGAAAATCAAAATCAACAAAAAACTATGAACCAGAGACACTTTTTGGGGGGTGGGGGCCGGGAGGGGAGGGATTGGGGTCAGAATGGGGCATGTGCAGTTGTATGGGGGAATATAAAAATAAAATTTATTATTTAAAAATAAAATAAAATAAAATAAAAAAATAAAATATTTATTTTTTAACATTTACATTTTATTTTTTAATTAAATTTTATTTTTATATTCCCCATACTTATTTTTATCTAATTATACAAGCACTAGGTACAGTCAGAAGCGCAGGAGGGTGAGAGAATTCACCAGAGCCAGAGCAGGAGCAGAACAGGCAGACTGGGGAGCAGCGGGCAGCAGGAGAGGTCTGCGCACCTTGTGGGACCCACACCCGGCAGCCAGGGATCAAACGGGTGCTGCAGAGGCTGCGGGCAGCTTCGCAACCCAGCGCTCAACCGCTGTGCCGCCAGGGAGGCCCTGCCTTATATTCTTGCTATATACACTCTGAGACAATTAAGTCTTGTCTCAGTTACCTCATTAAGGTGATAGCAGAAGTATACAGATTTTACTTTAAATCATAAAGGACAAAGTTGAAATGACAAAAGTTACAGGGTTCATGAAGACTTTATGAGAATTTTGCTTAAATTTTATGATTTCTCAGAGGCAATTTAAGGTATTGCTTTAATTTTTGATAAATTTAAGAATTATCTATCATATTTGGGGATTAGTGTTTACAGTTCTTCATACAATTTTATTTACAGGAATTTGAATGTATTTCTTGCTATCAAAAGCCAAGTATGAGAATTAACTGGACAGATAAACTAGTGCAATTGTGGAATTAGAATATTAGAGAACGCAATCTGTTTGCTAACATTTATTATTTTCTTCACAAAATCACCAATTTTTAGCTCAATATATACCTGTCGAAAGAAACTCCATTCTGAGCCTGCTCAGCAACTAGCAGCAGCTGTGTGAAAAGTAACAGAAAGCAAACAAAAATGGGGCCTTCCTGGTAGCTCAGGGGTTAAAGTCTCAGCATTCTCAAGCTACCGCCAACCACATAGCGCAGCAGACCTCTCCTGACTCGCCTGCTGCTCCCCTCAGCAGTGTATTTCAGTGGATCCGCCTGTTCTGCTCCCCACTCTGTCTCTGGTGAATCCTCCCACCCCATCCCACACCTCCGGCCTGTACCCCAGTTCTCGTATGCATAAATAAATAAATCTTTAAAAAAAAATAAGCGAACGTTTGACTTGACAGAAATTTTAAAAAGTCATTAAGAAAAAAACAACTACTTTGCAAAAGCAAAAAAGCATACTAAATTTATTGGTGTTTTGATAAAGTACCAAATGTTTATCATAGAAAGTACTAAAATTTCTAGAAATAAAGAGGGTGGGCTCATAAAAAAATACGAGAAACTATCATAGGAGAAATTAGGAAAAAGAGCGAACGGATACAGAGTCGTAGAGAAAACTGGAGGTGTGACACAAAAACTGAACGCAGCCTCCTCGCGGCAGCATCCACTTCCTGGTTCTCCCCACCGCCCGCGACACCAACGAGAAGACACCGCCTGCGCCTAGAACAGCCAACCAGGAGTGCACACCGCGTTAACCAGAAGCAGCGTGTGCGGCTGCGCCTGCCCGCCCCTGAGCCGTTGGACCTGTGGTAAAAATGCTTTCTGAAGGCAGTTCATTTTTGAAGGGTGTGTTGCTTGGAAGTATATTCTGTGCCATGATTACTATGCTACGACACAGTGGAACTGGTCCTGGAAATAGAATGCACCACCACCAGCATCATCACCTACGAGCTCTTAGTAAAGAAGGTAACTTAAGGATTTTAAAGCATGAAAGCATGGAGCTCGGTAAGAGCTTACGGGTGTACTGTATGATCCACGTAACACTCAAAGATGTGGCGCTCTGGGCTGCAGTGAAGGAAACCTGGACCAAGCACTGTGACAAAGCAGAGTTCTTCACTTCTGAAAATGCTAAAGTGTTTGAGTCAGTTAACTTGGAAACAAATGACATGTGGTTAATGATGAGAAAAGCTTACAAATACGTCTTTGATAAATATAAAGACCAATACAACTGGTTCTTCCTGGCTCGACCCACTACATTTGCTATCATTGAAAACTTAAAGTATTTTTTGTTTAAAAAGGATCCATTACAACCTTTCTACCTAGGCCACACTGTAAAATCTGGTGACCTTGAGTATGTGAGTGTGGAAGGAGGAATTGTCTTAAGTCTAGAATCAATGAAAAGACTTAAACACCTTCTCAGTGTCCCAGAAAAGTGTCCTGAACAGGAAGGGTTAATTTGGAAGCTATCTGAAGATAAGCAGTTGGCAGTATGCCTGAAATATGCTGGAGTATTTGCAGAAAATGCAGAAGATTCTCAAGGAAAAGATGTATTTAATACTCAAACTGTTGGGCTTTTTATTAAAGAGGGATTGATTAATCACACCAAAGTGGTAGAAGGCTGTTGTTCAGATATGGCTGTTACTTTTAATGGACTGAGTCCTAATGAGATGCATGTGATGATGTATGGGGTGTACCGTCTTAGGGCGTTTGGGCATATTTTCAATGATGCATTGGTTTTTTTACCTCCAAATGACTCTGACAATGACTGAGAAAGTGGAATGTGCATGTATAGGACATGTGTTGTCATTACTTTAATAACTACATACCCAATACAACATATTTTTTTTTTCTTCTTTAGTTGTATGATCAAGTTTAGTAGTGTATTTTTAAATAGAGTGGATTCTTCCCCTCAAAACACAGGAAAATTTCAAACATATTGGAGAAAATGTTTTAAAAGTAGTAATTTTGCAAATAAAGGACATATTTATGAACATTAAAAATCTGTGTGGCACGTTTTTTGCTGATGGGTCAAAAAATTTAACATGTTTTTTCAGCTTTCTAAGATATGCAAATAAAATCTCAAGTTGTAAATTTCTGATTAAAGTAAAACATAGGGCCTCCCCTGGTGGCGCAGGCAGTTGAGAGCCGCGCTGTGAAGCTGTCTGCAGCCTCTGCAGCACTGGTTAGATCCTGGCTGGGTGGCAAGGGTCCCACATGGCGCAGCAGACCTCTCCTGTCTTGCCCGCTGCTCCCCTCAGCAGTGTATTTAGTCAGTCTGTCTGTTCTGTTCCCCGCTCTGTCTCTGGTGAATCCTCTCACCCTCCCACGCATCTGGCCTTTACCCCGCTTCTTGTATTAATAAATAAATAAATCTTTAAAGTAAAACTTAGCTATGTGTTTCCTTTACTACTAATGTTGGCTTATATTCTAAGCGTCCCCAGTACCAATAAATTTGCTTTCTCAAAATAAGCAACAAAAGAAATGATCCTAATCAATGTTACAGTGAAAGCTGAAATCTATTCCTGAGAGTAAAAGTGAAATTGACTTATACATAGGTTAATACATTTCCTGGGAGCTAATTTAGTAGCATTCCTCAGCAGGCACATTTTCAGTATAACTCTTTTTATTTTTGTCTATACAAATACTGATATTGGAGTGGTGACTATGAAGAATGAAATGTCATAGAGCTATATCTTTTCCCAGTTAAACTCTCAACTATGGCTTGGATAAAAATGTATCCCAAGATTTATTTACTCCTGCTGAGGAAATGAATTCTGTGCCAGTTTCTTCTTAAGAACTTGTTTTGGGGGCCTCCCCAGTGGCGCAGTGGTTGAGCGCTGGGCTGCGAAGCTGCGCATGGCCTCTGGAGCGCCGGTTCAATCCCCGGCTGCTCCCCGGCCACCGGAGGCGGGTCCCACATGGCACGCAGACCTCTCCTGCCGCCCGCTGCTCCCCTCAGCAGTGTACTTCGGTCCTTCTGCCTGCTCTGCTCCCCACTCTGGCTCTGGTGAATTCTCTCATCCTCCCATGCTTCTGACTGTACCCAGTGCTTTTATGTATCAATCAATCAATCAATCAATCTTAAAAAAAAAAAAAAGAACTTGTTTTGGTAATCTGGCCATCTATTTGCATTCAGTTTATCCTAGCTTTTCTTATTTGTTAAAATTCTGAATGCCCCCTCCCCCCATCATTGGTTATAACCATATCCAACTGTTTGTGGTAGAGAGGCCTTAACCACATCATTGTATTAGCATATCTAGCATATCATTTGTCAAATTTCAGTAGCTACCCATAGACTTTATCCATTGGTGGATATGATAGTCCCTGTGCTTACGAATGCATGAAATACTTGGAAGTGGCTTGCCCTATAAGCTGGCCTGCATATGCTATACTAAGTCAGCTCTCTAAGCCTCATAGGGTATGAGACCATGACATTTTAGGGATCAGTATTTTCTGTACATTGTTTTCTCACAGCTTTTGCAAACCGAAAAAAGAATTCCATCATGAGGGCCTCAGGCTTCAAACTGATCATAAGAGTAGTGTTTAAACTCTTGTTTTAATTTATTGAGGCTTTGGGTTAAGGTGAAGGGTCATCCATTTTGAAAAGTATTAAAACCTCTTTATTAATCACTCATAAAAACAAAAACAAAAAACCAAAATTGAATGCACACAACCTGAAAAGATTTTGACTACGTAACTACATAGTTACATAACTGAGTAACAACCAGAGGAAGATGTAAGAAATCACAGGATATTTTTTTTTCTTCTTAAGATGAGCTATATTTGAGAACTGTTATATACTAGGAGGAGAGAAAACACTTAGATTCAGGAAAGAGAAGAGACTAAGTAATGGAATAATAAATCCCAGTAGAGTCATTTCATTCCATCTTACTCTACAAGGGAAGAAAAAGAAAACATGCAAATAGAATAAATGTATGATTAGTGAGAAATTAGTAGTTTCTAAATTTTCATCAGAATATTTCAAAACATACAATGGAAATCCTTTCTGACTCTGAATTTCTTTCTATTTTATTTAGTTATGCACATAAGAACTGGGGTGTAAGCCCAGAGGAGGATTCACCAGAGACAGAATGGGGAGTAGAACAGGCAGACTGACTGAAATACACTGCTGAGGGGAGCAGCAAGTGAGATAGTAGAGGTCTGCTGTGCCAGGTGGGTCAGCTCCCTGGTCAGCGATCGAACTCATGCTACAGTGACTGGCAATAGCTTCGTAACACTGACACCTGAACCCCTTGCACCACCAGGAAGTCCCCTGACTCTGAATTTCTATGATTTATTTGAAATACTACTACTACACTGTAATATTCGTTATACTAAATGATGCTAAAAAGGTCCAATCGGGCCTCTGTGGTGGCGCAAGGGGTTAAGATGCAACCTATGAAGCTGTCCGCAGCTTCTGCAGCACAAGTTTGATCCCCTGGCCGGCCAGGGAGAAACCCACATGGCACAGCAGACCTCTCCTGACTCACCTGCTGCTCCCCTCAGCAGTGTACTTTGATCAGTCTGCCTGTTCTGTTCCCCATTCTGTCTCTGGTGAGTCCTCTCACCCCCATACCGCTGGCCTGTGCCCCAGCTCTTGTATGCATAAATAAATGAATCTTTAAAAAAATAAATAAATAAAAAATAAAATAAAATAATAAAAAGGGCCAATCAACATTTCATAGTATAGATACTTTAGTCAAAGTCTAGGAGGCTACCTATATTTATAGGGCTTTGCTGAAATAGTCACTAAAAAGGATAAAGGATGTGCTTCTGGAAGAGAAATACTGAACCTAGAATGGAATGGGATACAAAAAGAAATCCAAAACATAAAAAGGAAACAGCAAAATGCTGTTGTCTATTAAACTCACATCTCATACTTTTTTCTTTTTCTTAGTAATCAACCAGGATATAAACCCATCTAGTCATTCCCAGAAGTTGGTAAATATGACTAACCAAACAAAAATAAGAATTACCCCAGATGTTCGGCAACTCTGGGAAGTAAGGGTAGAAATTTTTCCTACTAGATCAAGAGGATAATCAGGTTTAGAAACTTCACATTCTAGTCATTCCTCCAGCCAGCAGTTTTTAAAATGGTTTCTCAAATGGCAGCTTCGTGACTACCTGGGGGCTTGTGAAGATGCAAATTTTCAAGACCTGCCCGCCCCATAGCTATTAAATTATAAAATGATGGGAATGAATTCAGCAACTGTGCTTTAGCAAGTTACCCAGGTATTTCAGATGTTAGCTCAAAGTTTGCCCATATTTCTTTGTTCACACTTCCCACTTGAACAAATGCCCTGCTTCTGCCATTCCTAAAAAAATCTTTCCATGTAGTCCTCCAAAGTGAAGGACATGACTGACCAACTGCCACACATTATCTTAACCTCGTCATTGAATTTCCATCTTTGCCTTCACTGAGCCTAGCCGCTTCTCAGAGTCCTCATATAAAGGCTGTTCATTTTCCCAATCATCATGTAGCTCTGGGTCTAGAAAAGGAGGTCCACTAACTTCCTATAATAGCGAAAAAATATGAATGAAAAATCACACCTTTTCTGAGATTTTTCACTCTTGTGGCTTCAGTTATCAACTGACATCCAAATTTCTCTTGTGATATTGAGACTATAAGAACTCACTGCCTATCTACACTTCCATTTGGATGTTCCCAAGGAACCTCAAGCTCAACATAAAAAATCTGAACCTGTAGTATTTTTCAAGCCTGTTCTTCCAATATTTTCTGATACAATCGAATGGCACCACTCTTCATCTATCCAATTATATATATCTAAAACTTGGAAATCATCATGGAATCCCTTATTCATATGTTCAATTAATTAACAATTACTATCAATTTCATCTTCTGTAAGTTCTCTACTTCTTTCCAACACCACTGCTACTGCTATAGTACAAATTACCATCCGTTACTAGTTCATATCCAATAGGATACAGGATAGCCTATACAGCAACTCTTGTAACTGTTCTCTCTCCCTCCAGTACTGCACTCCTCCAATTCATTTTAAAAATTTCAGAGACATTTATTTTTCAAATTGTGGAACCTAATGGGATGTGAATTATGCTTCAATTTTTTAAAAATGTGATTTTATAGTTTTAATAATTTTATTGTTATAAATCCATCAAAACAAGATGTTAAATCTAGCTCTTTCACCCAGTTCTGCATCACTAACTTAATGATAGTTTTATCCCAAATATGTAACACAAAGAACATCAATGAAAAAAGAATTATTGAATTCATATTAATCTTTAAAACTTAAGAGAGCTATAGTAAGTAATTTAATCTACAAGAACACTACTGCAATAAATTTGTTTTTGTTATAAATAGTGGCACTTGAACAAATCCTCATAAGAAAATAAATAAACTAAGAGCAATGTTAAGAAAGAATTGAAACCCATGCAGAGCAAATAATTCAGACTTTGAAAAAAATGAAAACTCACCATACACACCTGCAGAAGTAGAACTGTTCATGGTAAAAGGTCCGTTAATGATGCCAGAAGAAAGAAGCTCATCAGATCCCCGCTGAAAAACAGCAAGAGCAACATTCTATTAATAAGACAACTCTTAGATAATGGTCTGTATTTATGCTAAAAATAGTGAAAACCAGTAGTACTAATTTATCTGAATATAAAGGTACTTAAGAGGGGAAGTTCTTCAGAATCACAAAATATAAAGGTTGGAAGCAAAAAACTACTGCACATTCCCAAGATTGCTAGCTATTAAAAAATGGAACTGCCATTCATAATTGGGGCATAATCCTACAACCTCCTTTGCTTAATTCCAGTCTTCTGAGATGCTACAGCTCAAATGCCAGAAACTGTATTTAGGGGTTCTATGAAGACATTGTTTTTGTTGTAGTTATCCACACATAATTTGTAAAACAAAAATGTACCATTCTTCTCAGTATGTATTTTCTTAAGTTGAACAAAAAGATGTAATTTATTTCTACACTGACCAAGTTCTTCGTAACCAGTGATTTTTCATACATTTATCTTCAAAATTATCTCTAATGTGTACTATATGTAAAGTAACTACTGTTTAAGTTATTTACTCTTTATCTTAGGTAAGAGTTTTCATCAATTCCAAAGCTAAACAAACTATCAATGGGAAAAGACAAGGGTCAGACAAGGTTAAATATTAAATAATTCTATTACAATTATTAAAACATTTACATTTAGAGGGTCTCCCTGGTGGTACAGGGGTTAAGTTTCAGCACTATGAAGCTATTAGTAGCCCAGCCAGGAGCTAACCCACGTGGTGCAGCAGACCTCTCCTGTCTTGCCCACTGCTCCCCTCAGCTGTGTATTTCAGTAGATACACCTATTCTGCTCTCTGCTCTATCTCTCATGAATGCTCTCACCCCCTCCCATACCTCTGGCCTACACCCCAGCTCTTGCATGCACAAATAAAGAAATCTTTAAAAAAAAGATTACATTGAAGGAAGGACAATAAATACCATGTATAAAGTTAAAACCAACCTATATCAAATGTTACTAATTGTTTAACTTAGTAAATTTTTAATAAAAAATTTTTGATTTACTAGATAAAATTTAATCTTCAAACTCCTGAAAACAGTAGAATACCAACAGTGCTCCAACAGATACGTAATGTTTAGCTGTAAGTACCACTTCTGTAGGAAACAACTTCAGTCATTAATGAAGAAAGGTAAACCACCAATGTGCTTGCATTATAGAACTTCAATTATTTAAGTAATTCTTGATCTAAACATTCAGATACTACGTTCTTTAGTTTTTGCACTAGAAGCTTACAGAACAGGTTTGGTTAACAGGAAAGAACCAAAAAAGTATGTAAGATGAGATAAAACTGAAAATCTCAACTTCCAAAAAGAACAATATTTAAAGCATAGATAGTCCTGAAATACAGATATTGGTAGCTAAAGATACACCACTTTGTTGACTACCTACAAAAGTGAAAATGGTGAATTTTTGCAGTTTTAACTGTAGTGAATTTCTAAATGTGCCCAACATTTTTATATTTGAGAATTTGGTAAAATATATACTACTAGTAGTTCTTCTACATATATGTGAGTTCAGTATTGATGTTTATATGAGTAAACAGTTAATTTGACCTTAGAAACCACTCAGAAATTACTTGAGCTCTCTAGACTCTAGGAATGTGTTAAAAAGTCAGGTAAATATTAATTCTAATTAGACTGAATACTGAGCTGTTAAAGGCAAAATGATAAAGACTCTAAAAAGTAACAGAAAGAGTATCGTCAGATTTTGTAAGTAGAAAAGATACCTTTAACAAGAAATTAAAAAAAAAACTATATTAAAAAAGAAAAATATCGATATATTAGGCAACACTAAAATGGAATTAACAAAAACATCATTAGAAAATTAAAAAGGCGCTTATGAAATAGGAGAAAATATTTGCAATATCTATAACCAATAAATAACCTATACCTAGAATTCAAAAAGGAAACAAACAAACTAGGATCAATTTTTAAAAAGTCAAGATAAAAGTAAATGACAAGAGCCCTGAAGAAACATCTAACAAATAACTTGGTAAATCATATTACTGTTCCCAAGTTCTCGTTCCCTCCTTTTACCCACAAGGAGGACACATCCCTATAAACATGACTTGTAATGCCTCCTGCAGGACTTGTAATGCCTCCCTTCCCTACCCACAAGGAATATAGTTGTGTGATATACTTTGGCCTATGGAATATGAACAGACATGACCTACACTAATCCAGCTAGCAGAGTAGTTTCTGCCAGCTTTTCCCTTCTTTCCCTGACTCTGTAACTGGGTGGTCCCTAGGGAAAGGGGAGGATCCAGGTTCCCTGCCCCACTCAAGGAAGGGGTAGACCTGAGCAGGGAGGAAGAGAAGCTGCAGAGGAGACTGGGAGAAGGAAGGAAGAGGAAAAAGAACAAGGAGACCTGCGGAAGGCACATGGAACAGAGAGAAATGTGAAGAAGTTGCGCTTGCTTCTCAGCCTTGGACTGGTACAGGGACTTGGGGGACAAGAAAGGAGACACCTGAAACAGCCATGGGTGAGAGACCTGTGGGAAGGTCAACTATGTCACCTTTTATCTTGAATTTGATTTTGCAACTTCCATATCCCAGACTTGCCACGCCCTCTATGCCTCTTCCTTATGGGTCCCCACCAGAAGGTGCCTTAGACTTGTAGCAAGCTTTTGGGCCAAGCCTGTATGGCTGGGCAATTTACCATTGAGGGGAAGGGTAACTTGGGGTGCTTGATTTAAAAACTATTTTATCTACTCTTTCTCTTTTCTTGTCTTTACAGCATACTAAGTGTTATCAAAGTTCCTTTCCATTAAAGGCCTTATGCACTAGAGTATGTTTTGTCTTTATGTGGCAGGTAGCAGAACCTATTTAGAGCAGGCAAGTTTGGGGGTCTTGGAGTGCCCTTCATCTAGCCCAGTAACAAAACTAAAGGGCATATCCCAAATAGTGGCTTCCCTTTCAGGCTTCCAGAAAAAGAACACATCTAGCTCTGTAACAACTACCACTATTGTGTTAAACAAGAAATAAATGTTGTTTTAAGCCATACTTAAATGACTAAGACCATTTTCAATATACATAGAATAGATATTCAACCTCATCAGTCACCAGAGAAATAAAATTAATAGCACAATGAAATACTAGCACAGTCCAAAGACTGGCAAGCCTACAAAGACTAAACCAGGAAAAAATGAAAAACTTGAATAGAACAATCACAATTAAGAAAACTGAAACAGTAATAAACACCGTCCACCAAAACAAGAAAGTCGGGCCTCCCTGGTGGCACAAGGGGTTAAGCACAACAGTACGAAGCAATCCACAGCCTCTGCAGCACGAGTTTGATCCCTAGCCAGCCAGGGAGAAACCCACATGGCAAGGCAGACCTCTCATGTCTCACCCGCTGCTCCCCTCACCAGTGTATTTCAGTATATCTGCCTGTTCTGTGCCCCACTCTGTCTCTGGTGGATCCTCTCAACCCCCACATCTCTGACTTGTTCCCCAGCTCTTGTACACATAAATAAATAAATCTTTTTAAAAAAAAAAGAAAGAGAGAGAGAAAGTCCAGGATAATATCCTTTGCTAACGAATTTTACCAAATCTCCAAAGAAAAATTTATGTACATTCTTAAACTCTCAAAAACTTGAAGAAGAGGGACTGTACCTCCCAACTTCAGAACTGACCTAACTGTACTCAAGGTTAAATGATGACTCAAGAGCAGATATAACAGAATAAGTCATTTAACAGATTGTTTTAAAAACATTATCCTTTTGGGTTTCTAACTGTAAAAGCCAGATCTAGTCTAAAAATGTGATTGGGACTCCCTGGTGGCACAGGCAATTGAGTAGAGCGCTGTGAAGTTGTTGCAGTCTCTGCAGCATGGGTTCGATCCTGGCTGGCCAAGGAGATACCACATGGCACGGCAGAACTCTCCTGTCTCGCCCACTGCTCCCCCAGCAGTGTATTTCAGTCAGTCTGCCTGTTCTATTCCCCATTCTGTCTCTGGTGAATCCTCTCACCCTCCCACACATCTGGCCTGTACCCTGGTACTTGCATGCATAAATAAATAAAACTCTTTAAAAATAAAAAATAAAAATGTGATTAATATTCAAGTAAAGAGAAGCAAGGAAAAATTAAATTTACATGACATCTTAAATGAATGAATGCAATATCTTAACTGTCACATTCAATGCATCTACATAAAATCTAAATTATTATAAGGAAATGGTAAGCACTGCACAGCATTCATAACAAAACCACTAAGTCTGATAATTCTACTGAATCTATCAATACTAATAAAAGCTTTTTTAAAAGAATGCCTAAAATAAGCCCTAAGCAAATAAAAAAATAAGCAAGCCCTTCAATATCTAGTAAAATGTTGAAATGACTGTTTTTATTGCCTTAGTACATGATAGGAAAACTTAAAAAATATTTGAGCATTGTTTCATAACTAGAAATATTTTTATCATTCATCATAGAGAATAACAAATTTATTGAAAAATTATGATATTTTTAAAAAACTGGTAACTTTCTGTCCTTACATATTTTGAGGATATGATAAACAAAGGACAAAAAGAGCAAAAGGAACTTAAGTTTGAAAATGTAATCACAAAAAATTCTGATTATCACAATGTAATGGCCAAGTTTTTCTACCCAAGAATTCATTTTCAAATAACAGAAAACAAAGACCTTTTTATATTATAAAGCTCAAATCCATGGATGATATTACTCTTCAATTCTGTAAAAGATGAGAAAAATAGTTCTGTATTATTTTAAATATTCCCTTAAAAAAAATTCTTTCCTACACATAAATTCTTTCTTCTGACAGAACATCACTATAATTACAGATTTCAGTACTAAACAAAATAATATTTCTCAAAATTATACTTAATATTTATATCCTAAGGGTATGAAAAACATTTTCCACTAGTCAAGAAAAATACAAACCTTGGTAAAACTGACACTCTCTCTTGTAAGGTCTGATTGCTATAAGAGATTATGGTTGGAAGATAAGGAGGAAAAAAGACTTATAAAA